TTTGACGCGATCTTGACTGATCAGTGACTGATCGATGACCGCTGATTGGTCGCCAAAATAGTAACGCCTAAGTTTGCAAGTACTGTTTGATATTGCGGAGTTATGGAACTTTATTCTTTGAAAAATTATCGAAAACTGTCCATTTTTCACACTTTGGACAGTTATAGAAAATTAATCGTTCAAAAATAGTGCCAAATTATTCATGTTTTATGCCAAGGGTACCACTGTGTGTTCATGCCTTTATTTCGGGGTGGGGAGGGTGTATATTTGAGCAGAGCTTACAGTATTTCTAGTTCATCACCTAAATTAATTTAAAGCATTAAGTTTAGCTAAAAGGCCGACGGGCGTTCGTATCATGCGCTCATGGCGCAGCTCTTTATTTGTTGTTGTTGTTTATTATGTCTCCTATCACAGATATGCGTCCAATAATTATGTATATTGTATTGTCGGCATATAAGCAATAATGGCCTGATGTTGGTTAGAATTTTTTTTCACTTATACTAGTATATCACAGGAACTATACATTTGCTTCATTTCATTCGACTAAAAGTAAACAAAACTTCTCAAAAATATTGTTTTCAGTACAGCAGTTATAAAAACGGAAAACATACATGAGCTATAGCGAAATGAATATTAGTTCGAGCTGATATTACTACTACACTAACATAGAGGTGGAAATTAAGGGGTACCTTGGTAAATTATCTGTTGTACTTTGATTTGTACTTTTTATAGCTATTTTCTTTTGGATGAATTGCTGCATTAAACAAATTTAATTTTTAACTGGAATGCTTAGAAATAAGAATCGCGCTAAATATCTACGATATAAGATTGTAAATACAAATTTAACGCCACCTTTACAAAAATTTAAAATTGAAGAAAAACTATTGAGGATTTGAAAATTTCAGTTACATTTTTATGTCTAAAACATTCTAAATTTGAAAATAAAGTTTTTGTATTAACACACACAAACACATAATGGCAAAGGGAAACATCAGAGTTTTCAAGTTAACCTAGAATTATAGAAATATTTAAATTTGATTAAAAAAGAACAAAGCAAGTATTGAGTACGGGGTTGAAGCGTTGAAAACGCGAACCTGATAGAGCGCATGGCAACTGGTGTAATTACATTGAAACTATGGATTTATAATAAACAACTCTCCCACTACATTCTTGACGTCATGCATGTATATCAATTATTGTTTTTTCAATTTCAGGACTGGTATTTGTTTGCAAATAATCGTAATTTGTATAAAAAAAGTCTATTACATAGTAGTTGTGTATAACCGCAGGACATGCATTCTAGGGGATGATTGCAATTTTTGTTTGACATATATATTTATTGTTAACTTCATAATCACTGTGTAAAACACCACAAGTGGAGTGTATAATACTGTGCATACCATACGATTGAAGAACTAGTAAATAATCGTTTAGATTTTTCTTTTTTGAGAATATTTAGTACCAAGTTGCACGGAATGTACCAATCCCCTTTTTCTTAGCAGATGTTCCTTTTGCTGTGATTGCTCAATCACTTCTAAGTTTTTATGGTCAAAGTTTTAGAAATGTTGATGCAAGGTGATAGATTAAGTTCAATTAAAATAAACTCATGTTTAGAAATGGTAAATTTACGAATGTTTCAGGAATTTAAAATTTCATTACTTATGATTGGAACACAATTATTTTTCTGTAAGATAATGTAATGTTGTTGATTTTAACAAAATATCAGCAGGTAAAACCACTACGATTTGACTTACGACAACCTGTTACCACTAGTAATCGACGACAAAATCGTACTTACGATTGTTTATGAAACGGTTAAAAACTAACGATTTGACGTACGACAGACTAAGATCTAAGATTGTCGAACGATTTTCTGTGAAACGATGGCCTGGTCCTTTATTCACGTGGGGTGAAATTCATACAGAAAGACTTCTAAAAGAAACTGTCATTATGCTTTAACTTCACATGCCGCTAAAAATATGATATCCTCTCATTAATAATTCAGTATTTGATGACTATCTTAAAAGAATATACCACATCAAAATTAAAATGAAAGATACCATTGATATAGTTGAGCCAGTTAAATAGTTTGCCCTACAAATTGACAGTGAGGGTTGGTTGAGAAACACACTTTACGACAACAGAGACAATTTAGATTTCTAAATATGAACTTATCATATCGCTGTATCAACATTCTTGTAGCGCCTGTATATGGAGTAAATTATTCCAAGTTGATACGATATTTCAGAGGTTTTGTTTCCTATCACGATTTCCTCTTTACATGATTGCAGCTTACAGGGAAGCTGTTAATCCAAGAGCTGCCAATGGGTTAGTTGATTTCATGCCTTTCAAATGTTTTACGAACACCATCATGCTGTGGTTGAACATTATGGAATATCTGTGTCGCAGATGACCACGTATATGCCTCTATTATCGTAGCCTCATCCTCTTCTCTTTTCCTCGTATATGACATCACAGACTGTGACTTATCAACGAAGTTTTACATGTCATGAGCAAGCAAGACGACAGGCGCCCCATGTGGAGCAAGATATGCGTACCTTTCTTTAGCACCTAAGTTCAACCCGGTTTTTGTGGGGTTTTTGTTTCTCAATCTTTGGTTTATTTTGTTTTGTTTTGCAGTCTGTTGTTTGTCTCTTCGTCGTTTTATGTTTTGTACCTACTTTTGATGGTTAATCTTCGACTTATGTTTTGTTTTGTCCATTTGGTATATTATGCCTCTTTTTTATTGATTGAAATGTACCTCAGACAAAAACTCATATTGATTAAATGCACTGCAGATATGACCTCATATTGGCTTACACCTAAATCAGGTATACACATAGAGGATTGAATGTACAAAAGGGAATAGCTGTATTCGACTATTCAGTATATAAATACACAAGACCGCGAAAACACGTCGGTTGTGAGGTGAAACACCTCATGTTAGTCAACAAATTCGTGATGATGACCGCAAAATTTATGTAGCGTTGACCTCAGTCGTTCATCGTCATAACTCTGTTAGAGCAGTTGTTGTGTAAGGAGAATACCCCTGTTAATGAATCATGTATAGTGTGTCCGAACGTGACGTATTAATTGGCAAATGTAACGCTCTACGATGAGGAAAGGGTTATTACTGCTGAGAAATCGAAAGATGAAAGTTGAGATCATCACGTTTGTCATAAAGTCTAGTTTAAAGTTATCAAAGTGTGTCAATATCGAGGAAAAGATTAGGATAGAAAGTAGACCTTCTAGTTTCGTCAGTATCCTTATTCTCAAGTTCACTGGGAAATATCAGATGCAAGCGCTCAATGAATTGATGGTTATTGAGTGACAGGACATCATCAATATATCTAAAATTGAAATGAAAATAAGAAAAAAGATTATTTTTCTTTTTGTCTTTGTTGTTCAAAACTTAGAATCAAGATATGAATCTATGAAACTGTGAATGTTATGAAAGATTGAAGGAAATTTGGTAAATATACTTTGTTAACAAAATTTGCCGTTATTTTTTGTTCACTTCAGTATCGAAATTTGAATAAACTGGGTGATTTTGAGCAATGCCAGAAATACAGACATACTGAATTCCAAATACATCAGGGAAATAAGGAAGAGATATTTAGACAAATTTGTTTGATGTATATACACTGTCTTCATCAACAGACAGGTATGTATACAATATCTCAAGCTCAAAGTCACTTCGAGTCTTACAAATTAGTGAATAAATTGAGCAGAAACCTTCAAAGATAGCTGGTTGGTCATGACGCTAAAGAATTTTACAGTTTTGTTTCCATTTTGTTTACCCTTGTATTTATATTTTACTTAACTTCTACTTTATCGAGAAAGTGTATATTATAACCGGTATGTACTATCAAATTCAAAACTTTTTTTTATCGGCGTCTTTGTCAATTTATTATCAACTACAACAAATTTTTGTCGGCGTCTTTATCATATTTATTTGAATGTTTGTTTGAATATTTTAGCCAGTTGTGTTGTATGTCTGTGATGTATGTTTACACAGTTTTTGCTGCTGGATCCCAATTATTGTCACATTAACAAATTATGTCTGTGTAGGTTACTTACCAAATTGTGTCAATATAACGGAACTACAAACATCTATCATAAAAGTTAGTGTTTTAGCTATCTATTGGTATTATGATTATTTCTTATCCGATTAAACACACTTTGAAATACTTCTTTCCTCAAATAATAGAAAAACAAAGGATATGGGGTATCCATCCATGACACAAAATCAGTAAATGCACAACTAAAAAACATACAAAAACCAAAGGAACAGCGCTTTTATTGCTGTTCTTCATCTTAAAGTCACAGTGAGACCTCAACACGGAGCAAAAAAAACAATCACATCACTGCAAGTTTAAGACGGCCACTAGCACTGGCTTAAGCGGAATTCTTTGCAAAATTAATTTGGATAGACTTTATAAGATGTAACACCACTCAATCGGGCCCGGCCGAAAAAGAACATACTGGAAAGTACTACACATTTAAAACAAAATAGTTCCTACGCACAGGTGTAAATCTTAAACTATGTAGCATATATTTTCGTAATTAAGGTATCAGATGAAAGGTGCAGGACTGGTGATCCTTGTAGAACACACACTTTACTGATAATTTTGAATAATACAAACATGTATGATTGAACTCTAAAATTGATAAAAATACCCCATTTATAAATTATATATGATAAATACACCATATTCCGACAATTTCGTTAATCACGAAAAAAGTTCAATTTTCAGTGGTATGTTTTCACTGTTTTAATCCGTATTTTAATCTGAAATAAAAAGTTTTGATTTTGCAATATCTGAAATTTCATAAATAAACATTCATCTCCGATTTATGTCACGTTTTGTTTGTTCATAACAAACTCAAATTAAAAAATGCGTGTTGTTTGTTTTACTTTGATATTTGTCTTGTAAAAGTGAAATGTACAAGAAAACACACAAAGAGTTTAACAGAATGACCACCAATGGTTTAACAAGTTTTATAAAAAAAAATCTTTATTTAAAATTACATTCAATGTGAGAAGAATACAACATAAACAAACAATATAACAATACTCAAACTTAACAATAATAAAAAAAATTTGGACGGAAATAACAATATCTAGTATGAAAATGCCTTTCTGTCTGTTCATTTGATACACTATAGTTGTCCTAGATATAATCATCTTTAATGTGTGCTTATTAATTATAATAAGTAAAGTAAGAAATAAACCTTCAGGTTACACTGCAAGCCAGAATTTAAATAAATAGTATTGTTAAATTGGAAATGCAAACATGAGCATTGAGTCATCTTTTTATTGGAATAACTTTTGTAAAGACAGCTTTATCCGAACATTTGTTGGAGAAAACAGAACATCTGTTGCTGACAACACAACAAAAACAACATATGTTGCTGACAACACAACAAAAACAACATTTGTTGGAGACAACACAACATCTGAAAGTAAAAAAAAACAATTTTAAGTTTTTACAGTATTTTTTTGGGAGAACCCATTTGGCAGGGGATAAAACATTTGAGTTGTGAAGAATAACGGCTATACGTTTTATGGTTAAGATCACAAATTAGATCACCAGAACACATTGTGTTGCATCTCTTGACAGACATGTTTTCTTGTCTATGAACTTGACACATACGACAAAAGAATAGTGGTCTGATCTGTTAAGTTACCAATTGTTTCTTTTTTCCTATCATGACATTTTTTTTTCTGAGTCTGGATTAATTTTGAGAGGGATGTAAGCAGCAGCTCAACATTTCGGCGCACCCATTCTTGCTTTATTGGAGTTCATGCGTTTCCCTCAGATTTTTAAAAGGCATTTTGCCTTTATTCTGTCGCTTGATGATTTTTTAGAGAATTAAAAATATTCTTGGAGTAGCATGGGTTCTCTGTTTTTGTTTGTGATCTTCATTTATATCGTATTCAAGGATTAATGACATTTAAACATCTGTAAAGTACTGCTAATTCTTTTAAATAATCTTTCTGTTCTTATTTTCTTTTATTGTTGAAAATAAGTTTATTTGACTGAACAATCCTCATACATTTAAAAAGTAAAATAACGAAAATACCGAACTACAAGGAAAATTCAAATCGGAATGTCCCTTATCAAATGGCAAAATCAAAACATCAAACACATCACACGAATGGAATACAACTGTCAGATTCCTGACTTGGTAAAACATTTCCTTATGTAGAAAATGGTGAATTAAACCTTGTTTTATAGCTAGCTAAACCTCTCACTTTTATGACAGTCGCATAAAAATTCCATTATATTGACTACAATGTGTGAACAAGACGAATAGACATAATACGTAAAAATGTCGAAAATAAGGGGAAAGCAGTCAACATTGTGTTATAATCTTAATCACTATAAAAACAAGCAAATATGTCAACAAACAAAAACAAAATGGCATACAGACAAAGCACATAAGCAATAATGAAAGACAAGAATACAAAAAATGACCACAGCACAAAAACACATTGGCGGGATGCATAAGGATTGAAATATCAAAGCAATGGTTCTATTAACAGTTATGTTAAATATAACTCCTTTATTTTACCAATTATTAATATAAAATACTGGTACTAGTAACTGTCTAAATATTTTACAAACAAAGTAGTTTCAATAATCAAATGAATTGCTGGTTCTGAGAAAAAAAAAGTAATGGAAGGTTTTATTAAAGCTGTTTCTTTCGGTTCCAGATAAAGTGATACGCATTATTTTTCTGGTAGTTAGATGTATATTGTCATATTTCGACTACATATGCGTCTTGCATACTAAATTGTGGGCTTGATATTTTTGGCGAGTTATTAATCACGTGAATATTTAAGTAATGTGATTGAGTTCCAATTGAGTGTGGGTATAATATAAAAAAATAGTTTGTGCAATGTCAGATTTTGTTGTACAACTGCAGATGTTTCGTATACAAACGTAAATAAACTTACTTTTTTTTCTTACAGATTATGACTATGATACACCAACATCCTATAAGAACTATCCCTATCCCTATCAATACCACACAAACAACCACAATTATGATAATCGTATTATCGAAGTCATCTGAAACATAATATTATATAAACTGTAACAATTATTAAGATTAGCTGTCTTCTAACTCACTTAGATATAACCAGGGCCTCTAAAATAGATGAAATATAAATCTAAAATATGCTGGATCTATTTGCATTTGTAATACGTCCTTTGAAAGTGAGAAGGAAATGAAATTAACTACAAAGTAATAATTAAGACTCAATCTATATTCAAATTATAATGTTATTCTTCGTATTCCAAAACGGCTCGGAGTCTTTATTTCAGTTTAATTGACTCGGGCTCATCTCAAACAGACAGGAGGCTATTCATTTGGCAAAAGTTAAAATGTGCCTGGGTCCAGGGGGTCGTGTTCACTCTGATCCTGACGTCCTCCAATGATCCGATTTTAACTACAGATTTTGGTTATCTGTTCCATTATCTTGTTCTAGTGAAGAAAGAATAGTAGTTGACAACTCTCTTCGCTCTAGTTTGTCTAAATATGTAGCTGCTTTGGTTCGACTGTACAGCCGGACATCAAATCCCTAATTTGTCCGTTAAAACCCCTGATTTATTATCCGAGAATCAAGTGGAGATAATTTCTGAGAAAGCCGTCAACAGATGTCGCTGCACAGAAAAATAATTCCCCACGGAAGACAACCCGGTAGGAAAGCGTGAATTTGTGAAATTTTAAGAAACCAAATTATCATGAGCGGTATACATGATATCATAAGTTTTAAAAGTCAAAGTAATGTACGTATCGTTGACAAAGAAATTCAAGTCATTAATTTTCAGTCTTCGGAACCGCCATTTTTCAACTTTGACTGTCATTGACAACTTTTCAGCTTGGGACGAATTGACACATGCCTGGTTTACCTAGGAAAAATAAATATGACTGGTTTATTTTGATAAACTGGAACATGGAGACCAAACAGAGCTATGATAGTCACTTGACGTTACCATTCGTTGTTTACACACGAGCACAATTTCAGTAAACCTCATCATAATTTGGTAAGGCCGCGCAGGGACTCCCTATAATTTTTTCCTAAAACTTCACTGTTCTTGACAAACACAGCTCAGAAATATGACAAACTTGTCACAGAGGAAAAGACAGTCAACATGTTATTGAAATGAATGAAATCTGTTCTTTTATTGTGATTTATTTTCCCTTTGCATGCCTCAATGATATCTTTCAGTACACAAAATTACAAAATATGAACAAAAGTTGTCTACTTTCTTAAAAATCACACAGATATTCTAAATTCAGCACCTTATGCATATGATAATATATATAAACCTCCCTATGATATCTCTAAATCAGTGCATTCTTTTTTGGGAAGTCAAGGTGTAAATTATTATGATATGTTAGCATGTAAGGATTTGACCTAAATGACATGACTCCGGTGGCAGTGTAAACATCCTAAGATCTGATATATCATAGATAAAAGACAGAGGAAAAACATTTTGAACAGAGTCAGATCTTTATTTTGTAGCTTACAGATAGAATTGCAAAAGAATGAAGATGATATCACATCATAATATAATATTGTTTGTGCTCATTCCCTTTTCATCTTCAAGCAATCATTCATTATAATGGCTAATATATCTATGGTTGTTCAATCTGCATCCAGTTTACCTAAATTAATCCCTATATATGATGATTTAGTCCATTCTATGTTTACAATTGTTTAGCTGCATGTACCTGCATTTGATGAGGATTTATATATCAAGTCAACATGGTCATTTTTTTTTTTAATTCTTCATCACTAAACATATTTAAGTATATGTTACCAGAGATGGTTTTATATGTCTCTGATGGTACAATTTAGACTTAAAAAAGCTTTTCATACCCATTATATAATTATTTTTCACACCCCATGGCCCTGTTTCATGTTGTGAATTTTTTTTAATTTGATTACATAAATTTATATCCACTAAAAGATTAGGTGAAATGCTATTTTCAGGTTTTTTACAGTATATTGGCATTTTACTTTATCATGTTTATTGCATGTTTTGCAATATTAAGTTATTTGATATACATGATTGGGGATTGGGTTTTAAGTTGACAAATACTTAGCAGTTGTCACACCCAGAATACATCCTGATACTCTTGGCATTGACAATAACTGTTCTTGCATATATATATACACATGTTCTATAAAGTAACTTGACATTTCTGTTGAAGACTGAAAGTGCAATTTTTTTTATATTTGTATACTCAGAAAAACAAGGTATCTCATTTCCTTTATCATATTATTAAGCTTTCAGCAATTAAAGGACTGGTGGTTTCATTTAATAATAAGAGTTGAAGTTTTTAATTTTCTGTTGAAAAATAGGAAATTTAAGTTATCTTGACATGACAACTCAAGGGGACTGTAAATGGTGGATGGGTATCCACGGCATATGCCAAGCTCTATATCTCTTAAGTCCTGATAAGTTCTGAATGATTAAAAACAGAAACAACTTCATTTTATAAATGTTTATTTTATAATCCTCCTTTTTGAAATGAGACAGCACACAACAAAATAAATAACAGGTTTGCAATCACTGTCAGGTCAAAGGTCAAAATAGAATTAGAATAAAAAACCACTGCATAGAAAAAAAAATCTTCAAAGAAAAAATGCAATTCTGACATTGATTTGTTCAGGAAAAGATTTTACTTTTTCACTCAATCTCTTAATAAAGCCCTGATTTTATTTTTATTATTTATTAATTTTTCAAAATTTTCAATACCTTTTAATATTGCTACCTACATACACATACAAATTACATGTTTGGTGAATAGGAAGCCTTTCTATAGAGTACCTTGATATTTCCATTTGTAATAAACATTGTCATGGGTATCATATGCCAGTTACCAGGAGTTGTTACATTTTAACTATTGCATATATAAACATAAGTAACACCCATTTAGAATGGAAAAACAATCTTTAGTTCACAGATATAACTGACAATGGCTCTTAACAGAAATTCTCTAAAAATGTAGATCTAGTAGTATTATAGTTAAAAAAACACCGTATTTAAAAAAAATAAATGAATGTAATAATTGGCAATTTCCCTAGCAATATCCATGATTTCTAGATGATTATAAGAAATAAAATTGGAATATTTCGATTAAATAATGATTTACCAAGACAGACATACATTCTGTAATACTTTCTCTCACTGTTTAGGTCATGAAACTTGACAGGTGCCCTCATTCCAATGATTAATTATAATTTCCAAGATATTGTTCATATTTACACATTTTACTATCGCATACGGATAAATTATTGGATATTATGCCCCAGAAACACGGTTTCCCTTACTAAAATTGAGCGAAATGCTTATTTTCACTCGTTCTGATCAGCCGCCCCTTGAACGAGTTTTCATTCGAGTTATCTCCCTTTGGCCGGTCGCCAATTTTGGACCTGTTGAATTGACACACGGCCGGTTTACCTGGCGAGTTTTGGTAACAATAGGTTTTTCATGTTCATAATATCAGGAGGTATCATCCCTCTTAAGGAAAATACGTTACCATTCCATGTGTCATTTCAATTTACATTTATTTGCTGAGAAGTGTCACGGCCGCAGCAATTTTTTTCATCTTTGCCAATCAAATAATCAAGGAAATTCTACATTTTCGTTTTTAAAAGAATAACGTAGTGAAAGTTTGAAACCTGCCGTATCAAATGATATATTTGTTTGAGCATGGTAAATACATAAAATATCTTTACGCCGTCGATTTCGTTGCATCATTGCCGTTGCTAAAAAATGTTATTTTTTTAACTGAAAATCACGTGACCAGAATAATAAAATGGACGCCATTATGAGATTTGCTGTCCGGCTGTGTAGTACCTTTATATCCAAAGTCTGGCTATTTTGATTTACTTCATCTTTCAAATTTGATTAGAAAAACATTAAAAAAAAACGCGCCTAGCTTTCCTACCTTCATAATCAACCAAAAACCACTTAAAGTTTATCATCCCTATATTGGTTTAATAGATTTTAGTTTTTTTTCTTGTTATGTGTACGATTTCACATTTTTTTGGGTTGAATAACATTAGCCATTCTTGTTCCAGTTAAGATAAGTTCGATTAAAGGGTGTATCAGTCAGTTGGGCACATTTTGTGTGTGGTATGCCAAATGACAAGTATGTGTCTACTGAGGAAGTAAAAATGGACACTGAATAATTGATTTATATAGGAATAATAGGCCTGCAATGTATTTTTTCAACGAGAGCAATCCAACGACAGAAAAAAGTATTAACGTATGGCCTTGCAATAATATAGAATCATCTGAAAATTTTCAAATCAATCATTGTTTAGAAATAACGATATTCAAACGCTTATATATTAGAGTCAAAATCACCAGTTGGACAGCTACATTGATACTTTAGATGTTTAGCTACTCAAAACCGTCCAAATTATATCGATCAACAACTAAGTTAAAAAGGGAATTATACAAAAAAAAAGTCAGAAAAAGCAATGAACTCAGCATAACAGACGATAAAAATAATATTTGATAATACCATATAAAAATGCTAGCAGTGAATAAAAGCTAGGTCAAAGTACTGTAACCATTGTCAATGCTCGTATAAAATTCATATGCTTTTAACATGTCGTGAAAGGTGGAAAGAGAGAAAACAGAACCATTGCAAATATATAATCTTAGGTGTTGAATAGATATAATAATGATTGTGATAAAAAGATTTTTTCTATGATAAAAATTATGATCATTTCTCAGCAGTAGAATGCATTATCCATCGTATAGTGTTTACATATCTCAATATATATACGATTCGCTCGTGCATGTTCACACTATATCTCATAACTTCATAGACTTCATTACCAGGGGTGTACTCCTTAAACAAGGACTGCTCCAACAGAGTAACGAGGAAGGACGGCTTAAATCGACAATGCATAAGTCGTACAAACACCATAATGAATTGGTTGACTGGTACAATATGTCGGTATCTCAACTCACTAGCGACATGTTTCTACAGTCTTAGAATTTAGATACCACTATAATCGTCTGATATATAATTTTTACCGAGATTATGAACTACTCCCGAGTGTGGAGTCGCATGTCAGACGATGCATGCATATCATGTCGACGCACCCGTTCTCACTTCTTTAAGGTTTCATATGATGCCTTAAGTCTTTGATTGTTATATTGATTTACATATTCTTGTTCGATTTATCAGATTTGAACATCAATAAAAAAAAAACTCATCATACATACAAAACTAGTGTTGTCTTTATTTATAATGAATATATTTGCTGTACATACCATTATACTCACTGGAACTGGAACCACTTGCAATTGTAGTACTGGAAACAGTAGTAGTTGACTGTTCAACTTAAAAAAAAAGACAATAAGTGTGATGAAGTGTGTAAGGGTAATCAGAATTGTGATATATTATTCCTGATGTTTGCTTTCGGGAATTCTTCATGTTAACGCTTGAAACACATTATTTGTTTATTAGCGATGTTTTAACACGTCTCTACTTGTGATTCGTAAGAGCTGTGAGATTTACATTCTTTAGATCATATCCAAAAGATCATATCCAAAATGGCTCTAATCATACTTCATCCTTTACATATTACATGTTACAAGTTTAATAACATATTCAAATGTGACGGGAATATCTGCTAAGTTATTTGTGCAGTTTAAAAAAAAAAGGAAAACAAATTTATTTTTTTTAAATTAATAAGCAGGAAAATGAACAGAACGAAGTCACGAATCTTTATATATATATAAAAAAAAAAAAACAATGGTCCAGAGTATAGCATAAACCATCTAATTAAATTAACATTTACGTTATTCTGAAAAGAAAATTCTAAATATCAATTAACATATTTTAATGTATAACAACATCATATCTTTTTATTCACCTTTACATTGAGCTTCATCATTACCATCTAAACATGCGCAACTACATGATGTGGCATTAAATACACCATCATTTTCACAAGTTACAAATGTACACGTATCACAGTATCCACCGGTAAAAGGGTAAAGACAATCACATTTGCTTCCGTACTGTTTTTCGTTGCATATGCATGCACAGGATTCATTCATAGCTGCTCCATTATTACATAGCGCAGAACATTGACTGGTGCACAGACTCCCTGTTTAATGATATTCAAAACTATTTTCAGATTTTATAGAATACAATCTAAATCACCACATTAGGAGCATATTAACGCCATGTGATGGGCCCCCCTGTCACTGGATACCTTGATTAGTGCAAAGGCATGTTAATCGTGTTCTTATTGTACACTCCACGCAATGCCATTTTTTTTTGTCTCAAGAATGTTTTTGCATTTGCAGAGATTTGACAGGATTTAGTGTTTTAAAAATGCAACAGGTGCAATTTCAGTAAAAAGAAAAACTAATTACAGTAATAATTATTAATTGCTCCATTTGTATTTCATCTACGTATCATAAAGTAAAATAACAAAAATACCGAACTCCGCGGGAAATTCTAAACGGAAAGTCCCCAAGCAAATGGCAAAATCACAAGCTCAAACACATCAAACGAATGGATAACAACTGTCATATTCCTGACTTGGTATATGCATTTTCTTATGTAGAAAATGGTGGAGTAAACCTGGATTTATAGCTAGCTAAACCTCTCACTTGTATGACAGTCGCATAAAATTCCATTATATTGACAACGATTTGTGAACAAAACAAACAGACATAATCGGTAAAAATGTCATAAATAGGGGTACAGCAGTCAACACCGTGTTACAATCTTAATCACTTTAAAAACAAACAAATATGTCAACAAAGAAAAACAAAAAGGCAAATAGACAAAGCACACTAGCAAAAATGAAAGATTAAGCTTGTGTCACGTGCTTTTAAATAAACCGATATTGGAAAGTTAGGACAAAACATATGTTTAAGTTATAGTTGTCTTACTTTTACCAGAAAAAAAAACATATAGTGGATATAGTTCGTTTGAGTTTTATAAATCTTCTCTTCAAATATTTATTCTTAATATTACATTTCGTTGCTGTTTTGCATTATATACTAATGGATGTGCAAACAACAATTATTTTCGAAATGTTTACTTACGTAATTAAAAATTTGTCCATTAGATAAAAAAGTAAAATAATATCTCCATCATGCCTGGGATTTTGCTTAACTTTCAGTCCTTTTTTGTTTGATCAGTGTTGATATAAAATTTTGGATATTTAAATATTATAGCCTCGAGCATCACTAAAGAGACATTTCTTGTCAAAAAGCGCATCTGGTGCAGTAAAATTGGTCCGATAATGTTGATATGGTAGATAAAAGGTTATGGAGGGAATTGATTTCCCGTGAATGAATACGAATGAAGATCATCTTTGTAGAGGATCTTTTATTTTTATTTGAGTGAATGTTAATGCTGAGGAAAACTTAATTGTTTTTGCAGTCAAAATCTGTGAAAAAAAACAATACCCCCACCCCCACCTTGCCGCCACTGTATAGATTGAATTGTGAAGTACATATTTACTATGGACACATAATATGCATCTTTTTTTTAATCTATTGACAAAAAATGCGCCCTTATTTGCGAGAGTTTGTATGATAATAAAAAAACATATAGGATAAAATGCGTCTACAATGTATGCAATTTGGATTCTTTAAAATTAACTTTTTTGAATTTTATAATTATTTTGTTTGTTGAGGCATCTGTCGAGAAGCATCTATCGTATACACTGCATTGTCTTACATATTGTTGTTTGCTAATATTAAGTCCAAAATTGTTGTCATTCTTAAATAAAAAACTGATACCCATCTGTACAGTAAGTGGAAACCAGACAAACGCATTGCTGTATGTTCGGTAAGTGTTGCACGAGGTATTTCATACCAGATGTCAACGATTTGTTTGTTTAGTCTTCAAATGTTTGTTCGACTAACGTTTTTTGGTTGTTTCTTTTTTTTTTGCATTTGCATTTGCATTTGCAAATGTAGTAATTATATCTATATGGAAAAAAAACATAGAGTAAATTTACGTATTCACATAAATATAACATACCAGTATATCCACTTAGACAATCACAAGCACAAATATCTGTATTCCACGTGCCATTCCCACATGTCCCTGAACATGAGTCAACTGTTAATAATTAATATGCGTATTAATTTTGTGTGCATGTATTGTTTTAAGGATAACATTGATTTGTAATAATGTAGGAAAAGAAAAACCAATTGATCGTCCTTGCATAAAAACTCTTGATCGTTTCATTTGTACATCAAAATAAACCAAAAAACGAACCGGTGTTGGTTAAACTCTGATGTTTTCTATCGCTTCAACCTTTTCATATTCATTATACAACCATTCTAACCTGTTTCTGAACAAAATGACACAATGTTTATTTTAACAAAATTAAAAATATGTGATCTATTTCGAAAGTTCTGGCACTTAATGCTCTTCGTACTTTATTTTGCCTTAAACTTTTTTTATTCGAGAATCAGTGATAATGAGTCTATTGTAGACAAAACGCACAACCGACAGAAATCCATACTTTCATACTCATTTAGTCAACCCATGAACTACTCATATTGTTATGCATTCCTAGGTGTACTATCACAAATCTGGCAAATAACTAATCACACTACATAGGAATCAGTTCTTGTTTGAGGAAATAATACCACAGATAGGCTTAAAGATATATGAGAAATTACTGCTGTCATTGATGTAATTTCCATTGCTTATTTTTGCCATTTCAAGTTTGCGTTCCCATTCTGAAATAACTAATCTCCGCTCTAATTATCAAACAGGAATAAAATTAGCTATTGTTTTTATTTCTAAAAGAGTAATCTCATATCTTATGAAAGTATAGCTCGATATTTCATGTTATACACATTGATTGAGGTAGAAAATTTGGCGATGGGATGAAGCGGAAGTTTCTCAGAGAGTTTATAGAATAATTTCATCAATGCACACTGTTGAAAAAGGAAAATTTTAAACGAATTGAAAACAAATCAACAATAGGTAACTATATTTCAATTCATCTAAGTTTCAATTCTATCGTGAAGCTTGTAATGGGTAGTTTTTGCTATTGAATTTAGGTATGTTATGAAACTTGTGCCCCTTTTGACCGCATAGATTGGATACCAGTATACATTAATTAAACACATGTAATTTATATAGTAGATAATTACATGTACCACAACGAAAATGATTGCATAATAAAGGAAGCATAACGGTTATATATTTCATGTCAATGTATAACCAAGTAAAGCAGAGAGTGACAATAACCTCAATCGCATAAAATTTCAATAAAACTACAACCGGTTTTTGACAGGGTACACACTTGCTGATAATCATGTATCACCATTCACCTGTCAACAGTCACATTAAGAAGTAAGTGTGAAGGACAGGAGTATGAAGAAAACATGCAGCACTCTCAGATTTATATCAGTAAACATGTTGAATTGATCAATTACGGAAATAGATGTGGATTGAAACAGACTATCATATATCTGCAGTATCCTCAATAGTAAGTTCATATGCATATGCATATGGATATATAACATATATAATGTAGTCCTGAGGAAATAATTTATGAGTGAAAGAACAACATTACTTTATTTCATTTAAACATTTTTATTAAAATTATACAATTTCTTATTTTCTTATATCAAATTCTACTTTATATAAATAAGTAGAAATTCATACACATACATATCATTGGATCATTAATTCCTTAGCCTTATCTCAGTATATTCATAAAGTCAAACAATTTGATTGGCATCATTGTTATTCTTTATCCCTACCATTTTTTAACCATAGGCTAATTAGCTATGCTACCACTGAAGCGAATGCCACATGATTTGAGTAGAATGTAAGTTATTACGAGTCGGGGTAGGGGCTTTAGAGTAGGGCATTGAGATTATTCCCCAAAAATTAGGTACGTCTTGTTAAAACATAGATTTCTGCTTGCATATTGACCATTTCATTAAATTCAAGACGGATGGGATGTTGAAATACCAATTATTTGTTCTGCGGAAAGCGTGGTCCTAAATATGTAGCCTTGAATAGAACCACAAGTCCTACCACTGAATGAAAAACAGCCCTAGCTATATCTCTGTATTATTGGAATCATGGCAAATAAAATGCATAACTTTTGTTCGTTACCAGACATATTCAAATTATATTTTACTATTGTAGCATATATGATACATTTATTGTAAAGGTGATTAAATACAGATTGTAGATGTGGGTGAATGTGATACAAATGGTAAGACACGGGATGAAAATCTTACTTGTGCTGACATCTAAACAAAAAAAGAATGATCCGTGGTCGTAAAACCTAATTTAACCATATTATAACCCTCATCCTGTCAATATACTGTATTTAAAGTAGATGTATTTCGTTTTTCCTAATATTTATTGACTAGCTTACTCTCCATTAGTTAAAAAAAACCACATTAAAACATTGTTTTCTTTGCCCTCAAATGACGAAACCCATATGGTAAGGGTTATAATATATACTACTGTTGTGCAATTGCGTTTTATCTTTCTTTGGATTCAGGTAAGAAAAGTGAGTACATAGTATTTTTTACGCTGTTTTGAAGGTATGCGTCTTGTTAGTTTCTTGTCGAGAATTATTTCTACAAATGTTTCTTGAATTGAATAACCTCCGAAGAAAAACAAAACAAACAATACTCTGAATACCAAATAGCAAACAGCTTATTACGGCAACAATTAGCACAAAATTATACTTGGCAATTGTGTTCAAACTGGATGTATTATCCCTAGATACCTCGTTCATTGCTCGTTTTGTATGCAAACTACTAGATGAGCCTGTAGTCAATGCGGAAGTAAATATTGTATTCGCAGGAATATAATATAATATATAGTTGACTTGACACTGCCTTTAAACACCAAAGTAGTCGTAATGACAGTCTGGTCGGAAATTAGTTTAATGGTTTTATCCATAGACTGCTCAACAGAAATAGAGGTTTTTGCTGTTATCGATTTGGTTGTTGAATCATGTTTTGTTGATACAAATGTTGCTTTTGAATCTTGCTCTGTTGATAAAGATGGTGTTGTTGACAATGGATCAGCTGCGGTATCTGTAGACTGTTCAATTGAAATAGATGTTTTTGTTAATAACAATTTGGCTGTTGAATCATGTCCTGTTATTATAAACGTTGCTTTTGAATCTTGTTCCGGGGATAAAGATGTTGTTGTTGACAATGGAGCAGTTGCTGTATCCATAGACTGTCGACTTGAAACAGATGTTTTTGCTGTTATCGATTTACTAGCTGATTTTTGATTTAATGATAAAGTTGCTGTATCATTTGACTGTTCTGTTTCAACAGCAAATGTTGTTGTTATCATTTCACTTGATGCAACAGTAAACTGTTCACTGTTTGTTTCTACAAATTAAATATATTGCTTTATGATAACCCATGATAATAATAATATAGCGATTTACACTTGAAATTACTTGCAGTTTTAGTGTTTTCGGGTATTATATTTAAATCATGAACGATATTGCCAACCATTCTTTTTTGTAGCTGCCTACGTGTTTATCCAATATCATACTGTAAGTTAGTGTGAACTATATGAGGGTAATTGTGATGAAAATATAAAACAGTATCAAGTTAAAAAAGAATATTATCATAGAGTCTTGTTTATCATGAATTCCATGTATTGTTTCTAATATATAAATTCGCTATAAGATTACAATATATATCTTTATCAATTTGCGTTAGTTTAACCTACTTGCTAAACAAGGTTTTATTATTAAAGCTCTATGCATATTAGGAGTATGGAACTGTACCTGCATATTTATTTATATAATTATTGTAGTTACCTTGTGTCTTTTTCCTTGTAAAAATGACATCTTATTATGAAGTTGTACTATAATTCTTCACATTATATTACTCCAGCAACCATTGTTGTCTATCGGTTTACAGCAAAGCATAAATGCAGCGTAAAAATTGCACCAACAGTTTAAAAACATTATCTGTTTGCATAATCACGTTTATAGTGTTTATTTTTTTTTAAATTAGGCTGCACTTAACTTTTTTCGTTTTCGAATTTACAGTGGTAGCGGAATTGAATTGTATGACGTCTCAAGTAAAGTGATAATATCGGTATTAATAATTACATACGACGCCGACTCCTATGATGGTTTTTGTCACATATTCTATCTTCATTATCTTTGATGGTAAAATAGTTATTTATCAAGATTCACATCAAAATTTTCTCGATCGATCGATCGATTTTTCTGGTAAAGTCTCACGACTACATGTTTGTCAAATGGTAAGCACTCCCTTATGACCTTACACCTCACCTTAATTTCTACTATCACTGTATATCCACTGGCCATGAAGGCTTTGTGTCCCATATGTATCTCTTTACATGACTATAGTCGTACAAATGATTTTTTTCATTCAAATAACTAAAAGGCATTTGTTATTTGCTTTTCTTATAATATATAAAGAAAATTCTCTATAATACCCCCACCCTGGTTTTTTTTCTTTCTACAGTTAAAGATGGGCTTCAAAAATATTGTGATGAGATATATTCTACCAGTGGTGTTAACCAGATGTGGATTCTCAAAAATTCGAAAGATCTACTGCTTAATCTTCGATCACAATCTTTGCAATTTTGCAACAACATAAAGACTTTTGATTTTTCTACGCTTTACACTACTATTCCCCATGCTCAGTTGAAAGATCGACTTCACCATCTCATTAAACAGAGCTTTTTCTATAAAAACGGGAATCGTAGATACAAATTTCTTGTTTTGGGTTACAATAATTCATATTTTGTGAAAAACCACACTGAATCTACCAGAAAATATACTGAAGATGATATTATCAAAATGCTGGACTTTTTGATCGACAATATATTTGTTGAGTTTGGAGGATTTATATTTCAACAGACAGTCGGTATTCCAATCGGAACTAATTGTGCACCCCTACTGGACGATTTGTTTTTGTATTCGTATGAAGCAGAATTCATTCAGAACCTTCTAAAGACAAAAAGAAAAAGCACCTTGCGAAATTCTTTAATTTTACTTTCCGATATATTGATGATGTTCTATCATTGAATAACCCATATTTCAGCCAATACTTACATCTCATATATCCCAGTGAACTTAAAATTAAGGGTACTACTGATACTAGAAGGACTGCTTCATACCTTGATCTTTTCCTCAATATTCACACAGATGGACGACTCCACAGGAAAATCTATGATAAACGGGACGATTTCAACTTCCCAATTATAAATTTCCCATTTCTCAGCAGTAACATACCCTCTGCCCCTTCGTATGGTGTTTACATATCTCAATTGATACGTTATTCTCGTGCTTGTTCACACTATACGGATTTCATATACAGGAGTGTGCTCCTTTCGCAGAAACTGCTCCAACAAAGTTATGAGGAGGTGAGATTAAAAATGACACTTCGTAAATTTTACGGACACCATCACGAATTGGTTGATCCATACGATGTGTCTTTGTCCAAACTAACTAAGGACGTTTTTACCACGTGTTAGATTGTGGTTTGTCATTACGTCGTCTGATCTTTTAATTACCGAACGTGACTTATTACCGATTGTGACTGTTTTGCTGAGTGTGAAACCGCATTGCTATAAGACGTGTCACGGTACTTTTCTATCCCAAATTCATGTATTTAATTTTGATGTTATTTTTATTATTCTCGTTGGATTTTGTCAAATGTCTTAACGTCTTTTCTGTTATATTCGTGTGTTATGGAAAAGATAATTAATCACCCCCTTCATTTAATAGATTTTAGTTTGGTTCAACGAAATTTATACGATATATTTGGTTTACAGTTTGATTCAGAAGAAACACAGACATAGCTAGATAATACAATTAATTATCTAATTACTACCACAATTTGATATTAATAAGTATTGTAATTTTCATTGTTATTAATAAATGTAATGTCAGTATTACAAATCTAATCTTGAATCAATCCTAATCCTATCTTATTTTAGGGAAATATTTTTACAAATCATATGTGACGTCACTTTGTGTGTTTTTTTAGAATTTCAAATGTGACGTCACTTTGTGCGTTTAGGGTTTGGCTAACTCGGCTGTGTATTTGTATGTGTTGGATTAAGTTGTTTTATGTAATGTATCCGTTTTTATTCTGTATTTAGTCTCCACTTCGGTTTTATCATGTATATCTATTATATAGTCATTTTATAAAGTTTACTATTTGCAAAATTATAAATTATTTCTTGTCCCAGGCAGAAAACCCTGTCCGTGTTAGACGCAACTTTTTGGAAGTTTTGGTCCTCGGTGCTCTTCAGCTTTGTACTTGTTTTGGCTTTCAAATTTTTTTCATCTGAGCGTCACTGGTTGGTCTTGTGTGGACGAGACGCACGTCTGGCGTATTGAATTTTAAGCCTAGTACCTTTTCTTAGCTATTATTCGTGTGTTTCTTTGTCCTATATGTTCTCCCATTTGTTTGTATTGTGGTCCTGTCATGTGATATTGTCGTTTTGGTGTTGTGTTTAACGTTGCCATAAAAGCGGGAGGTTTGGCATGCCACAAAACCAGGTTCAACACACCACTTTTTTCTTAAAATGTCCTGTACCAAGTCAGGAAAATGGCCATTGTTATATTATAGTTCGTTTCTGTGTGTGTTACATTTTAATGTTGTGTTTTTGTTGTGTCGTTGTTCTCCCCTTATATTTGATGCGTTTCCCTCGGTTTTAGTTTGTAACCCGGATTTGTTTTTATCTCTATCGATTTATGAGATTCGAACAGCGTATACTACTTCACGAGATAACCAATGTTTTCACAATTAAAAATGTCCGTATCTAAAATGAATGAATCTCATAAACAATGGGATACTATCAAATTAACTTTTTATAAATTTATTGCGTCAGTGGCGCCTTTCTTGATTTACCTTTACCAGGTACGATTAACCCCCAATATTTAAATGTCAAAATACCTCAATACGGTAGGAGCCATATAACCAAAAAGGGCCCGATAAGAATAGGCAAATTTATCTAAGGTCTACTACCTGAGGGAATTGATACCTCTTAATTATATCCGTAATTTATCACCGGAGAATTTTTAAAAAAATGTATTGTTTAATGTCTTCAATCTTGTCAGTACCCCCGAGGCACTGACTAATGAGCTAATGATATCTTCGGGAACGTACAGTCCTACATCAGCGATGTCGACTCAGTTTTAGAAAATGATAATAAATCTTTATAAGTTTGATGCGAATGAAGGTATTTTCTGAATATACTTTAATTAGTCACACTAAGTATGTGGAATAATCGTACTTTCTAATGATTTCATGAATAACCCAGATTATAATACTGCAAATATTTGTTGGAGAATCTTATGTGCCAATTTAGTCAACATGTAGCTTATCAGAAATTTATTCTACTGGTCAGATCCACAAATAGAAAATATTAGTAGTAGGATGAAACAAAACCGAGAAAATGCTTTTTACAAGTAAAATTTAAATTTTTCGACAATGTACTCAATGAGTTAATTTTCATATATTTGTATTGCAAATCTTCGAAAAACGTTTACCTTAGTTTATGTATATGATAACAAACAACCCTTCATATAAATTATAAAGAAAAATTAATTAGATAGTATATAACCAATTGGAAAAACTAATTACTGTTAAATTCGTATAAATGAAAATATTACTTCATAAACTATTTTCGTCCGAAGCGGTTTTATTGGATTTACTCTCAAACCAAAACATTTGAAAGCCATGGGTGTTTAATTACAAAGAAATTAAGGAACATCAAAGGGCAAAAGATCATTTGCTAATAGCAAGTTTTCCGTGTACAAAAGTAGCTTGCGTGATGACTTGATAAATACAAATATATGTGTTTGTACTTTGCATCATATATGTAACTATTCTGTATGACTTTGATAAAAAATATATTAAATTTTGATTCACCTCAAAATTGTTAATTATGAAATTATCTAATAAAGAATTCATCCTTTGGATATATATAATTTGAACTTGTTTTTTTTTAATCAAGTCGTGTGTATGTTAACGACATCCGTCCTGACGTCACAAACAAAGACAAAAAACAAACAAAGACAAAAAACAAACAAATCAGATCCACTTCATTTTAACTCTGGTGGATAGTTTTGTCAGCATTACCACATCTACTTCTTTTTATTTTTCCAAGTTAAAAAAGAACCTTTATCAATCTGTTATGATATGGACAAGCATACAATAAAGCGATCTAAGAGTAATGTACTAATAGAAGGATATATATCAGTAAACAATTGAACGAGTAATATACTAATAGTAGGGTAAGTACCGGTAAGCAATTGTACGAGTAATATACTTATAGTAGGATATATATCAGTAAGCAATAGTATTATCAAAACTTACTGTCGGTGGGAACAGAATAAATATATTTCATTCCAGTATTACTGTTCGATCCAAAACTGTACACCTGCAGTTAAAGAAAAATAGTTAATTAATGTTTTAGACGCATGGGAGACTTATAATTTTGATAAATTGATGGAAGGACGGACCTATCAAGCAATTCCTATATGCTATAAAAAAAAATCAAAGAGCATAAGAATTGGGAACATCGCACTCGATTTCTCGCTGCACAACAAAATATGTAAATCTACTGTATATATCTCTATTTTAAATCATTATAAATAATGAAAGGATTATTTAATGCTTTATTTTTTTACACCGTTAGATAATTTTTGCATCAAAGAAGTATAGTCAATAATCCCTGTAAAGGTGTATTTTGTAGAATTCAATTGTTTGGATGAATCTAATGTGTATGTGTTGCTTACTGTATTATTTTTGGAAGTATTATAAGAAAAATTGCATGTCTGCTTCATATATCACAGATATAATAGACTTAGATAGGAATAAATTTAATTTTAGTCCATTTTTTTACAACTGTCATATACGTGAGAGTTTTAGCTAGCTATAAAACCAGGAAACTGCTGTACCATGTCAGGAATATGACAGTTGTTTTTCATTAGTCCTGTTTGGTGATATAGTCGAGCGTTTCATTTTCTCATGTTATATAAAAGAGAAAAATAACAGTTTACAAAACACAATATAGAATACTAAGGATAAAGCAACATGAACGTTCCAAAAACCAAGCTGATATCTGGTGCTTTCGAAGGATGAGCAGATCCTTCTCCATATGTGGCGTTCATCTTCTTGCTGATGTAAGTACAAATCCGTTGATAAGTCTTATTCGTCAGGTCTTTCACCTTTTTTTAGCTCGGTCTTAAAGATTCCACCTTTTTTTAATTTACCTTTGAGTTTGTTATTTTTGTTGATACTTTTTTTTAGAAATTTGTCACTCTTTTTTCATGCTTTCATATGTGGCGGCACAACAATTTCCGGCCATTGAAATTTTGGTTTAAAAGTAAAGAATATTATATATAAGGTATATTACAGAACAGATATGTGTGTGCGAGGGGTGGCGCAGCTATTATTTTTCAGAAAACATTTATAAATTTACAAATTATGCAAAACCGTATGTTTAAAAGAAATTCACATACATTTATGGCGTCACATTAACATAACTAATGACCTAATAAATCTCAAACAATAACTCGTAAATTCGGATTGAGATTTGTAAAGCATTTTAATATCGTTGTGTCAAATATGTTGAATAGATAATCTTTTTATAATTATATAAAAAGTTTTCGGTTTGTCAAATTTTGTTGTATTTAAATTACTATCTCCTTTCTTCTTTGCAATTAGCATAACATGAAAACAAATTGTAAACGGGAAACTTTTCCCAACACCAAACTATATGTACATGTGAAGTGACTGTTAACAGCAAGTCCTATATTTATATTAAAACAAAAAAGTAGAAATTTATATATCATTGCAGTTATAAAGATTGTTTCTGTTTTTGTATCAGAAAAATGCAACTGGTCAAGAAGCTCACACTTTGTGAATGTGAGACCTAGTTTACACGTTGGTGAATTTTGAAAAAAAAACATTGTTTAAAAATGATAACTATCCACACAATAAATGTATAACTTTTACAAACCTTCACAATCACCGGCTCTGTCAATGGTCCTTTGGTATGCATTATCGCAACATAAGCATCATTATGCCATAAAGTTCCACCAAAACTGACCGGACTATTACCAGTTTGAAATATTCTGGTATCATCGTCGACGCTACTAGTTATTATTGGAGTCCCCTCTTTAGTATATATTTCTGAAATGATGAAACGATTCACTATCCTTTAAAATAATAATTTAGAAATATATATTTTTTTTTTGCCATAACTTTCGAGAAAAATTCCATCTTTCAACGAAATCGTACGGAATAGAATGTTGGTTTTCTCTTTTGAATTATTTCTAATTAATCCGGTTGCTGGATTTCCCGGTTGAATAATTTCACATTTTGTCATGTTTCTATACGGTAGACATTTGATCAATGTTAACAGGCCGTTCGGTGACCTCTAAATAAAATTGAAAATGGAAATGGGGAATGTGTCAAAGAGACAACAACCCGACCAAAGAGCAGAAAACAGCCGAAGGCCACCAATGGAACTTCAACACAGCGAGAAAATCCCGAACCAGGAGGCGTGCTTCAGCTGGCCCCTAAACAAAAATGTGTACTTGTTCAGTGATAATGGACGTCATACTAAACTCCAAAACATATAAATGAACTAAAATTAAAAATCATACAAGATTAACACAGGCCAGAGGCTCATGACTTGGGACAGGCGCAATAATGCAGCGGGGTTAAACATGTTTTGTGAGATCTAAACCGTCCCCTATGCCTCTAGCCAATATAGAAAAACAAACACACAGCAATACGCACAGTGAAACTCAGTTAAAAAGAAGTCCGAGTCCGATGTCAGAATAGGTAACAAAAGAAACTAAGCAAAATGACGATGATACATAAATTAACAAAGGACTACTAGCAGTTACTGACATGCCAGCTCCAGACATCAATTAAAATAATTGAAAGATTATGTCTTCATCATATGAAAATCAAGCAAAATCCCTCCCGTTAGGGGTTTAGTATCATACCATCATAAAATATATGAGAAGAACATAACCCGTATCATGCCATCAACTAGTTTATTGGTGGTCTTCGGCTTTTGTCTGCTCTTTGGTCGGGTTGTTGTCTCTTTGACATATTCCCCAATTCCATTCTCTATTTTATTAGATGTTTATTTCCGATGCAAAGACCATATGAGTGAATCAGTATTAATACCAAAATATGCCATCTTTAATGACCTGACAACAGTATCGTCACTATATCCCTTCTTAATAAGTCTATTTAAAGGTTTGGTTAGCTTTTGATGTGAATGCCGACATTTTTGTGCTTTGTAAAGAATAATACCATAAAAGATTGGATGTGAAATACCTGAACGTATAAGATGACTGCATGTTGATTTATATTTACGAATGATGTCCTTGTACCATAGATAAAATTTAGTAAATGTTTTGACTAGTTTGTGATATCGAAAACCCTGGTGTAATAATTTTTCAGTAATACATGGATTTCTTTCGTTAAAATCAAATATGTTGTTACAAACACGAGCAAATCGAACAAGTTGGGATATATAAATACCATAAGATGGCTACAAGGGAACGTCACCATCTAAAAATGGATAATTAACAATAGGAAATGAAAAATCATCTCATTTATCATAACTTTTGGTATAAAGCTTCCGGTTAAAGATATAGATATCAAGATCCAGGAAAGGGCAGTGTTCATTGTTAGTATTAGCTTTAATTTGAAGTCAGGTCAGCAGGATAAATCTCTTTAGTGTACATACTGAAGTCGTCATTATTGAGAGCCAATATATCATCCAAATATCTAAAAATGTTATTAAATGTTTGTATCAGATGTTGTTTCGATGAATCTTTGCTGATTTTAGTCATAAATTGTAACTCATAACATTACAGATACAGGTCCGCAATAAGTGGTGCATAGTTAGTCCCCATTGGAATTCCGATAACTTGACTATATACGGAATCTCCAAAACGAACAAAAATGTAATCTAGTAAAATTTCAAGGGCAGTTATAGTATCAAAGCAGGTCCAATTGACATAGTTCTTTTGTTTGTTGTTACTAAAAAATGACCTAAAAGAGTTTGAACATATATATTTGCATTCTGACTTTTTAAGTGCCCATTTAATTAGGTGTGTGAATTTTTTCTTAATAAGATTATGAGGCAAAGTGGTATATAGGGTAGAAAAATCAAAACTTTGAACAGATTCAATTTGTCAAACAGTTATGATATTATTAGCAGCCTTATCAGCCGGGACAAACACAAATTCCTTGGCGAGTTCTTTTAGCTTATGTTTGATACGAGAAATAGGGTTATTTTGGTTGTTGTTAGGAGTAAAATGTTCTTTAAAATGTTGTATACGTATATCAACTATGTTCATTACTGAATTAAAAAAAGAATCTAAGGATTTCGTGTCAGCTTTTTCTCGTTTTATCCATTTCGAGCAGTAAGTGCGGAGTGAGTCGTGGATGATATTACGACACTCATTCCAATTACTAATTGACGGGGGACGATATTTAGGTCGTTTACTGAGGAATGATTTCAACTCTCGGTCACGAACGATGTTAAGGTCTCCTGTTATAACATGTTACTGCAATTTCATGACGTAGGTGTATTGTCACTGATGTTTACATCTTTACACACTTTGCTATATTTAAAAACACATATTCCGGGTAGATGTTTTGTAAACATAACACATAAGAGGGAGTTCAATATTATCAAAATAGCCAGGAATTTGTTCTTTAACAGAATGATCATTAAAAATACCGGCAATATTTACAAAATCAAAACCTTTATTGACATATTTGATTTTAATAAAATGTTTTTCATGATCTTCAAGGCGATCAATTTTAGGAAACAGTTTAGAATAACAATACGCAATTATAATTTGAACGATTTCATACTTAGGACTGCAATGTGGAATTGTGTTGCAATCCTCTAAAATTTTATGTAATTTATTAACAGGTAAAGAACAGAGCTTGGTTAACAGATAATGTCTGCCGTTGTTTTTTGAAAGAAATATAATTAGGTCAGAAATATTTGTATTTTTGGTACGAAATTTTCTTTGATAGCGATTTATTCTACGCCCATGAGAACGGTTTTTACGAACAGTTTTAGAAACTATATCCAAAATGTTAACAGAATCGGTTCTTGATATGTTACCAATTCCCATGATATTATCATTAAGACCGAGAGGATAGACTGTCTGTAATTTTTTAATTCAATTTAATTCAATTATTTTCCGTGATCGTACAAACTTTGAATGAGATACCCAGGCTGCTTATTTACTACTTCTAAAGGTTGAATTGTTAAATATTTAATATGATGATTGTGCTTCTTAAGGTGTTGATAAATGATACTTTTGAATTGATGGGGTCTTTTAAAACGATAAAGGTGTTCTTGCGTGCGTTAAGAAAATAGCGTCCAGTTTCACGTACGTACTGAATACCGCATCCCGGATTGTTTCATGTTAGTAAATAGATAATACTGTTAGTTTTTTCAATTTATATCAGTTTCAAAATTTACGGAAAATGTGCGATGTCTACATACTCGTCCTATATTTTCTGATGCATTTTGTCTGAGTGGCACATACCATATCTCCTTATTTCTATGTGTGGTAAGCATTTTTCATAATGGTGACAATGCCATTGTTTATTAAAAATAGAATTGTGTGCTGAGAACCTCATTTGTGATTGAGATAATACATTTTATTTCTTAAGTTCAAGTTTATCAAATTATGCAATTGTGTTAAATCTGCGGTTGCAACTCTCCAGATAAAGTAGTCTTGTGATATTTTGACAGTTCTGTTATGGATCTTTTGGTCTTTTTTTCACTTCAATATCTTATAGTTTATATTAAACATTTGATCTTGATCTTGCCTGGACAATTAGCACGTGTTGAGCAGAAGAAAAGTATATCATACGTTTATATACATCCGTTTTCTGTTGATTTCCGTGCACTTTTGGTGATCATGTGAATACAGTTTTGTGAGGTGAAGCATATATCGACATAGCAGTTCGTAAATCATAAAATTTAAATATAAATGTTTTTGTTGGATATTAACATGATCATTGCCTCTTCTGAAGATAATGATTCAGTAGACGTCTAAATGAATGGGCAAGAAATCCCTGACTCACTAATGACGTCATAAGAAGCAAGTATGCTGATTTTGTCATGTCCAGATAATGCACTGACTCGATATTGTATGTTTGAATACACGTGTTAGATGAAACGGATATATGAGTCGTGCAGCAATAACACAAAATGTATAGTAGGTTAAGTTGTTACCTGTATAATAATTCTTCATATCGTTATATACAAATGATATTTCTATGTTATATGCGCCAACAGGAATTTCTGTCCATTCGCGTTGTCCCCCTGTAAAAATACATATAACTCTGAAATATCACTTGATAATAAAGGCGAACTGGCATTGGAAATCTCAGCTTGAATTGGAAATCTTAATGTGCAGATTGTCTCTATTGTTATAAAGGTATATGTTAATAATATCTTTAATAAAAATATAAATATCTGAGTCCTAGAAAGGAGATAGGATAACTATGAATATAATGAACCAGGACGGTGTTTGAAGTAAAAACATGCTTTGTATGAACAATATTAATTTAAGGAAAACACAAAAGAAAATTACACCACTGGACGAGCATTTGAAACATACACATTTATTATTAAAAGGTATTGTAGTTTAAGTCTCATGACAAACTGCATTTCAAACTTATTTCACGATTTGAACTTGAAATGCAACATTAAACATAAACTCTGAGAGAAACGTTCAATGAGTCGAAACATAATTTATTTTTTTTATCATGTGTATCGTTTACAGAAAAAAAAACGATAGTAAATGAAGCTTGCAAATCAAGAAGTTGCCATGCTATATATAATAAATGATGCTGTCAAATTAATGCCCAAAATACTTGTCATCGAAGATAAGAAAACAACGCACTGAACATTAAACAACTTACTTTCCATATAACTTGACTCTGTGATCACTCATATATTGTTTAGTTTTATTTTCCGTACGGTTGTTTTACCTTTTAATTTTGTATCTTATTCCTGTAGCCATTTCGAAACAATTATCTAATTATTTACAAATACTACTTTATATATATATAATTGTCTTATCCTGATCATATAGTACAAACAACTCGTATATTGAACATTTTTATATATTTGAATTTACATTACCAGTAACAAACAGATATTAATATTTACATAGAGCCACATCATCAGTAAAATTTCCCTCTCGGATAATACATGTACTATTGTCACCATTACACACGCCACATCCATCAAATACACCATCATTCAGAGTGTTGGCGCAGTCAAATTTCTACAACAGTAACAAAATACTATCAAATGATTGTATCCGTCTAATTTATATATACAGTGCAATTTCATCCTAAATTTTCAGACAAGCTTAATGTCTTTGATTGCTCCGTTATAAATCTACAATGCACAGATCATACTAATAAGGTCCCAACTTTATCAAGCTAAATTGGCTTTAAACATTTTGGCTATTGTGGATCGCTTTGTTTTAACTATTTGTTTTGTTTTAAACATGGTAAATGATTGACTTGAACGTGTACTTCATAAATATTGTTTCCCTGAGCGTATGACTTAAGTTGTCTTCGAACTTAACAAACAAGGAATATGTGTTGTTTTGACCCTTCTATCTTAAATTTACTTTACCAAGAAGGAGTTCTTATGGTAGGTACTTATATAACGATTGTCTTAAATTGTTTAAGAGATTGTAACTGTAATACAAATGCATAAATATTCTTCTACACATTTTAAAATAGCACCAACTTTTTGTTCCCAATGGATTCATGCGGGTGTAGAAGAGAGGGAACTGTTTGCCGTTTGTTTCTACAGATGTCGCTTAGTATTCCTTGCAATAATTATTGTTGAATATTGTGCTATTTTAATGTTATTTGTCATTCTTCGACATGAATGAATTGACTCTTTGAATTTTGATATATTTTAGTACCTTCTTTAAACTGTTGTTTTTCGTAACTTTAAACTTACTTTATATACAAAAAAATCCCTCAACAATATACATTACCTGACAATAACCCTCTAAGCAGGAATAATAAAACCCTGGGCGTCGAGAATATTGATTCGCATCAGCTGTTTCTAAAGTTCCAGGACACGGCGTACCGTTTTCTATCAATCCAAATCTTGTAAAATCAGGTCTAGTATACCCCGGAGTCGATTCACACAAAACTTCACATACACCATGGTCTGAAAAAAGTAGTAAACATCAATATAACAGTAATCTGGAAAACAAACCCAATATACGAAAGAATTTTGGCGTAAATCATACGTCTTCAACAAAACAGGATTGCTTAAAGAGGAAACATATCAAGCTGCAAACCGACCATATTCTAGAAAAGTAGTTAATTTAGTTAATTAACATGTATCCCTAACTATCATTCATCTGCCATCAGCATCAAACTCCCCAGAATACAAAAACACATTAAAAAGATAAAAATAAAAACATTAACGATGATCTTGACTTAGGAAGGACATAATAAAAACATGTGGCGGGGTAAAACAGTTTTTTGGATATTGCATCATCCATAATAAATTTTTATTCAGATGACCTGTAGTCGTTTCAGTAATCATTGTTTGCTTTTTTGGAGTGAGAACAAGAAAATCATACCACATCTTCATAACTTTTTTAAAATGAGTCAATAAACACCCTACAATAAGTTTTGTACAGGATACATAATACGAAAAGCACACCACTCTAACATAACGGTATACTACATTACAAAAACTACAAGTACAAACAAAAGAATCAACAATGGTAAGACAGTATCAAAGCTACTCAAAGCTACTGCAATAAGCTTTAAAATGTATATATTTTTTCTCATGCTCACCACGAAAATTCTGAAGAAAAAAATGATGGACTGTAGAGTTTAGTAAGATAGGTAATATTGTGAATTTCATTTGCTAAAGTACTGGAATCGGAAACAATCCGGAATGTTACGATTACCGGAATAATTACACGCTGTTAAAATTATAGAGCAATGAAACCTGTACCATGCGTTTTCGTGGCGGGGAAGTTAACACACCAACATATCCACTAAAGTATTTGCTTTAAAAAAAATTGGGACTTGTTTTTGTATCTGATATTTCCTAAAGCTACAGTTGATAAACAGTGCTACTACAGTTAGTACTACAGTTAGTAAACACGATAGGATTTAAAAAATCTTCTACATACTTAACGATGAGTAAATAGTTCCTGAAGCTGTATACTCTGTTCCATTAATGATGTTGTTATCAATTAGTCTTTGACATGTCTCTGTTGCTCTTTGTATTATAAGATTAGAATCAATGCTATTGTCTCCAACGCACGGCTGAAAAATATTATGAAAAGGATAAAGACAAAGAGTGTGGAGTAGTTTTCCTATGATGATAATTATTATTGGTACCATTGCACTGCTGTGATGCCAATTGAAACCTACAGTGCGCATTATGTTCTTAGAAACAGACAGATCTTATTCAGAAGAACTTGTATATTGTATATACATTTCTGGAGAGCGTGAGATCAGCAACAATGTTTTTGTAGGGTTTGTGTAGATCCGTGTTCAGTTTTCTTGGCAGTGCTTTGGAGACTCTTGCTTGTTATTTTTAGTTTTTGTCATGGTTTTGTCGGTCTTCTACTTATGAACTTTTATCGTCCCTTTGGTATATTCTGCCTTTCTTTGTAAGTGATACAAAGTATGTAAAGCCAACACTGTTATAATATGATAAATCGTTCATCGTGTAAAAATTATAGTTTGGCCAGGAAAATTATCAAAACAAATAAGTACAAAGCAATATTTACCGTTAGACTACAACCTTGCGCTTCGTATTCATTGCCATCGCAAGTAGCATTGTTCTTTGGACTAAAATATAAAAAAAGGTTTACTTATTTTCACAAATCAGTATAGTATAAGTTGAGATCTGTAAAATATGGCTATATAACACACGTCTTTCTCTGATTTGTTATTATACTGATTAAGGAAATATGTTATCATATTTAGGTTCATGTCCAATTTCAGAAACCTTGTCCACCTTGCACTTTTGAATTCATACCAAATCTCTATAGTTGTATTTGTAAAAGTTTATTTATAGTTTTTTACATATTTTAGAATTTAGTACTGAGTTCGAGTAAGCTACAATCTCTGATGAATTCCCCAATAGTCCTTCTATATAAGCCATTTAATGCTCAAATTTAAGTTATAGATGTCTGTCTATCATTAAAAAACATGAAGCTTAAACATGTTGTAGATTGCCGTTGAATAATACTGAAAATCGTCGGCATTTCTGTTTTCGTAGATGTAAATTGTCAAAATACATTAATTAAGTAAAAGCATTAACAAAAAGTAAATTAACAAAAATACCGAACCCCAAGGGAAATTCAAAACGGAAAGTCCTTTATTAAATGACAAAATCAAAAGCTCAAACACATCTAACGAATGAAAAACATCTGTCATATTCCTGACTTGGTACAGTCATTTCCTTATATAGAAAATGGTGGATTAAACCATGAGCATAGCATAATAACAAAATGGCAGGATGTATAAGTACCAATCCACGTCATTAATATATAATCAAATATGGATAAACAGTACAGGTTAAAAATCTATACTTCAGGACCACCATGTATTATTTGTGAAGTTGATACGGAATATTCATTCTAGTGACATTTTGAATATCAATATGCTATAGAGGTTAGGTTCAAAAACAACAACATATATCTCCTTTTTTTAACACTCATATAAATTTTTTATTGCACTCCTTGCTGTTTAACAAAGTACTTGACGAACAACATTCCATCAACTATCCCTGTTACATTGAATACAAAATATGCAGGGAGAATATTCATTAAAACTTATCTTATGTTATACATCATCAGTTATATATTTTGTAATCTTTAATTACTATCTGTTGTTTGTCTTTTGACTTTTTTGGTTGGGTTTTTTGTCATGGCACTGTCAGTTTGTTTTCGATTTACAAGTTAAAATATCCCTTTGGTATCTTTCGCCTCACTTTGATAACACTTTCCTTTAAAGAATATTACACAATCTGTATCGTGATAGTTACGGAAAATAAGTTTGTATATCGATTCTTTACTTTATTCTTACTGTTATGAATTATTGAATGAAAGACGGCGTTTGAAAACGTTGGATAATGATAAAAGTTATTTCTAGAATATTTTTTTTTCTCCTAAGATATTGCCCGGAAAAATTAATTTCATATTTGACCCGAATTAACTACCTGTGACCTTATACAGGTTACAATAAATTATTTCCAACCCATAAGTCACTTTCCAAACCACAAAAGATTCTTAAAGTTTTCAAATACGTATATTAATCACCATCTTAATAAGGAAATACCAAAAACAAACCTACGTTGGGTTATTACATATTCGTCGTCTGTAAATCATTCCTCGTCCACATGTACGGGAACAGGTTGTCCAGGCTTCCCAATCTGACCACCCTCCTGCACGTACTTCAGGATTAGTTAATTGAGCTTCAGACCAATCAACACACGCACCGCCAAAGCAGATCTAAGTAAAGATTGAATTGAATATGCCGCAATTAATAAAGTTTGCATATAACATGATTTAAAAAAAAACAAAAACAAAAAAACTTTTAATCTGTTTGTCAAATACAAGCTGCAAAAGAACAATTCCAGAAATACAAAAAATATAGGTTACACCTCCAGAGCACTTGAGATTATCTCTAGTTTGAGTGTATTTCGAACTGGTGAGTCTGTTGTTTTCTCTGTTGTGTTTTGTAGACTGTTGTTTGTTTTGTTGTCGTTTTATCGTTTTTTCAAGGCATTGTCAGTTTGTTTTCGACTTACAAGTTTGACTATCCATTTGGTATCTTCCGCCTTTCTTTTGTAGTTAATGGCATTAATCTAATCCGATTTATCTGCTCACTATGACTAACCCTAGGCAACACAAAGAGTGTTCTGTTTGTCGGACATGCATTTTGCTTAATACAATTATAATTATTATCATTGTTGAAAAGCTCCATCGATCCACGGTTGCCTATCGATTATTTTCACCCCCCAGTTTTTGGTGGGGTTCATGTTGGTCAGTCTTTAGTTTTTTATGTTGTGTTTTGTGTACTATTATTTGTCTGTTGGTATTTTCTTTTTAGCCATGGCGTTGTCAGTTTATTTTCGATTTATTAGTTTGAATGTCCCTTTGGTATCTCTTTTCTTTCGGGAATCCTGAAAATACATCAAGAGCAAGGAGTACTTAATTCGAAACGAATAGCATTTGTAAATAATTCTTCAGAAGGAAAAACTAATAAGAGAACCTCGCATACGTAGTCGTACCTTTTGGTAGGGATGAAAGCGGACTATATGCTCAACTTGAATCGAATGAAAATAACGGGAGTGAATATGCTAATTTTACATAAGCAACTTAGTTCTATTGTACAATTAGAACAAGACCTTTACACAATTTATGATCCCTAACAATATTTTTATTTTAAATTCACCTTTTGATCTTCACAGTATAGACCGGTAATAGAATTAGACTGCTTGAACATCTGACCATGTTTATTCCCAACATTATGATTGACACAACTATACAGGTTACAAGAAGGGTTCTGTCGACAGATAAAAACTTAATGAAGGTTATGTTACTTTCACTTACACATTATAGCTCTAGATTTTTTTATCATTTTGCCGACTTCGAACATTTTGACATACAACGTTTGCAACTATAGGTGGTGTAATTAAACGTAATGGCAAAAGCTCACCAAAAATACCATGCTTATAATTTGATAAAACTCAAATACTGTGATATAAGTTATTACGACTGGCACCATAAGTTGGTTGATCGTTATGGGTAATTTTTGTCACCGATGAGTTGTTGGTAATGAAATTCCACCCTTTCTTGCTCGATTGTGACATATTCAATGAAGTTGTACTCTTGAATTACATTCTTGCCGTCACATGTGTGGAGCACGATCCAATTACCCTTTCGATACACCTAAGATCAACCCTTGCATTTTGCGGTTTCGTGTTGCTCAGTATTTTTTTACTTTGTAGTGTTTTATTGACTAGTTTGTTTTTCGTTTTTTTTCTGCCATGGCGTTCTCAGTTTCTTTTCTTCTTATGAGTGTACAAATCTTGTGTCTTAATGGAGAAAATACTTTAAGATTTAAATGTGCTCACAACAACATTCGGATATTCACGGTATCTAAATCCACTTCCGTATAACTGTTCACATATTTCATCTGCTGTCTTCAACTGACCTGGTAATAAAGATTTAGTACGAGTATTAGTATACAGAAATGATTTGAAGAATAACAACCGTTTCAAAACTAACAGAGGTAACTATATAACATATCAAAAGATATCATTGTCAACGAATGTCAAAACTCAATTCTGTCTAGAACGCATAAGTCTACGTGAATGTTAACATCTATTTTTGGTAAACATACAAATACTATATTTATTGTGGGCCTTGTTTTGTGAAAAAGCGAAAGGAACAATTAAATATCACTAGTCGATAGAAAACAAACAGACCAAACGAAAAAAAAAACAGTTCACAAAAACACTACAAAGAAAATATAAAATTGTACAAAAGGAACTAACAAAAGAAACCGGGGGCTAATACCGATGTCAAAAATAAAATCCAATTACAGCTTAATTTGAAGCATTGTGTCATGTCTGTGAGAAGATATGAATATATTCATATAAAGCCTTACTTATACGAGGAAACAAGCAGTATTTTTTTTTCTTCTGAAAATACACAATACATTACCTCATAAACTGCTATTATATCTCAAGCCAAAGTATAAACAGTACAAATCTATTTCTGTTTGACAGAGAAGAAAAAAATAGCTATGGGTTATATGAAAAAAAAAACACAAGTCAATTAAAAATAAACAAATCAAAGACCAAATAAAATACGGACCAAAGAAAAAAACAGTTAACAAAACACTACATCCAAAAACTAAGATTGAGAAAAATGAACCCAATCAAAACCCATTAGGGACCACATACGAAGTTATGGCTCAATTCAAGATATTATTATTTATCTTTAAAAAAGTCAACAATAAATAAATGAATATCAAATCAATACATTTTAAAGGGATGAGCATTCAAATACAAAATTCCGATGTCACTATAGATACTGACTTATAGGTCAGGGGACATTGACCCAATTTATCGTATGTGTACATTGCCTTCCCCTTTTCTATTGAAGAAACTTTCATTGAAATGTATTTACCTGGAAGTTCTGGTACTAATGGTTTCCCAAGTAAAGATGCTGGAGTAACTTCATTATCAGCAATATTGTCTATCCATAGACATCCATGATTGCCAGTTCTGTGAACAATATTAAGTATAGGTTTTAAATCAAGTTACACAGTAACATATAAATGAGCAGCTAGTGGAAACTGAACAACAAAACTTCTGTTTTTGACTTACCCACCAAAATGTTTCGAAAACAATAAATGCAGATCATTTAAAACAAAAATGTACAAAAGTCTCTGCTAATTGAAGGTTTAGGCCATCTGTGGAACAAATCTCTGCGAAGTGACGGCATCAATTTAATAGCTATTGTTTGGTGGAACAATCGGTGTTTCTTTTTATGCCTTATTGTCTTATTCACTTGACACATATTCCATGGAACGATCCTATTAACTTCATGTTCTGTTTTATAGCAAAATTTCGTTTTCTGGTTCTTCTTTTCATATTTCATATTTCATATTTCATGAATAATACAAAGGGTGTCACTTTTGTAGAAACTGGTTTTCATTCTTTACCACTGATGATGTATGTATTCAGCAATTAATGATTTTTGTTTGTACCTTTTGCGTCTTCAAATGTTTTATTTATATTAGACAAACTGGACCACCATACTATCCAAACCAGCATTGTAAGTTCCAATAACTTGCATACATGTAGCGCGATACGTCATTTGGAAATTTTAAATGAGTTTTCCGTAATTTGTTTACTCAAAGTTATGCTAAAAAACCCACAGATTTACTGATCTTGATATGCGCAAAGAATGATTTGTATAAATTAAAGAAAATTGTTTTAAACTATTTTCTTGAACATCTTTCAAGGTGCGACGAATGGTTTTCTAATTCATTACTTACTTTTTATCCATGAATTGATTTTTACTTTAAATATTGTTTAGCATATATTTATGAAATCAACCATGGTAACGTTTTATTATACTATAGTATATTATGTTTTCTTACTGTAACATTGTGTTCATATCATTGACACTACATGTACTCCATCCGACGCCAGCACCACCCATTATACCAACGTCTGGAGATAAACAATTTCTATCGGCGTCATGCAGCATACCCATGCTGTAACCAATGACATAAGTTGTAATGGTTATGGTTAATCGTTTATAAAATGGCTAAAAATGGACTTTACTGATGTGAAATGTAATTGATTAAACTAGTGTTTACAAAACTAAGAATTCACACAACTTGACAGCTACATAATATTTATATCTATATATATGACCAAACTATTAAGACGTTTATCAAAGTGCATAAAAATAACATACTTATGGCCCATTTCATGTACTGTCGTTCCATATGTTATAATCCCATCTGCAGAAACACCACATCTGTACCTAGCATTGCATACTTGACTTTGATAAGCTAATCCCCCTAATTCTGGATTAGGTATGCTTTAAATATAGAAAACTTATACAGTAGCTAAATATAAAAATAAGAAGATGTGGTATGATTGCCAATGAGATAACTTTCCACTGAGACCAAATGACGTAGAAGTTAATATCTTAGTATAGGTTTCGGACGTTTGTCGGACTCGAGTAAAGATAAGATATTCGATATACGTCAATGAGACAACAATCTATCAACACAAGATATCAAAAGACATTTAGAATTATCAGACGGTTTCAGTGTATTTTCATCATGATGAATAATTCGTGAAATGACGTGAGTGATTCGTGTATTTCATGGCATAGAAAATTAGAGATTTGACTTTTTGATTGTTTAAGTGTAATATAGTTCTATTGAAATAACTTCAATCGCATTTTGTTTTGAGAATTTTTGTTCGATGAAACTTCTTCACTGCCACATAAATGTCCTGTAGTTTATTTTTATTTATTAAAAAGTTAAGATCTTTAGATATGTTCTTTAAAAAAACTAATTTTAAGTTTACATTCAAAGCAGCTGTTGGTTTACATACATTTATTAGGAAAAGCAATAGTGAAGACAAAACTATTCAAACATAGGAGTAAAAGTTTCTAATCTGTTTGCATGGGAATAATGTGTACTGTTAGGATAGTTGTTTAAGTAAATGTATAAAGGTCGTATTATTCAACTAGTTTACAAATCAAAATACATGCGTGCTGCTATTTTAAATCGGTATTTGGCTGTTTATCTTTGTTATATTGTCAGAGTGATTTTATTTCTTACCCTGTGTGAACATGTACATGATCGTACGCTAGACCAGCTTGGGTTCCCATACAGATAGTGTTCAAAGGAACCGATAGAGAAGTGGAAGCATTGTACCAGGACTGAAATAGAAAAATAACAGAGGTAAATTTAGGAAAACTGTCTTCTAAAACTCGTTCAATATCGCCTTTTGTTAACGTGCATTTCCGTAATCTGGATGTTAGTAAGTGGTTGGCTTTAGAGATATATCGTTGTTTTCAACAGCTTAGAAATTTGAGTCTAATGGCAGACCTTTGACTGTCTCTATTTTATTTTACACAAATGATCTTGATTTGGAATGATTTGAAGCTTGATACATGGTACGGACATTTGTTTTATGTTGATGATCATAAGTTTATCCATAATGTCTCTTTTTTCATTTTTAAGTTTTTGCATTGTTAGCCTGTTGTCTCATTGTCGAAGACCCCACACATTATTATATTTACAAATCGGATTGTAATTTCATATCCATCTATTTTTAATGTAGTGCGAAGTAAAAAAAAAATATTTAAATTAACAGGGCTGAAAAATATTATAAATAAAATCCGTGTTCCCAAATATATGATTGTTTAATAGAACATGTACAGGACAAGACTTGAAAAACACAAGTAAGCGCGGGAATTAAGTTATGTTCCTTAAAAATGAATTCATCTTTTATATCAAATTATTATATGGAGTAGAATTTCACATACAACATCCATAATTTCTAGTGGTCGCTCTAAATAAAAACAACTCGATAACAAGGGGGGTCTCTTTAAGTGTAAGGGTCGATGGTCAAAAGTGGTAGAGGCAAACTCAGACTCTTGTTTTTATGAAGAAGCAAATACATTTAATACGTTTCATGAATTAAAATTCTGTAGACATTCTCTTCTTTTGTTATTTTATAACGAATTGAAGATATAATTTAAGAACAAGTTTTAGTTCATTAATACATGTGAAAATATTACATTGGAGAAGTCGAGCAATGATGTATAAAACTGTACAAGCATATAATCTCACCGGGTTTGTATCTAAAAACGTCAAAAGTTTGATTGATAGAGTTACGTTATAATTTAACACATCAGCACGACTCCATTCACACTGTACCTGCAAAGAAAAGAAAAGAAAGACATCAAATCGACCAAAAGGTCTTACTGTTACAATATGTTTTTGGTGTTGTTTGCTTTGTGTATAGATTATAATTCTTGTTAGTGACAGATTGATATGAGCAACCACCTTGAATAAGCTAAAAGAAAGAACTTTCAACCATTGAGGAACTATTGACTGATGTTTTGAAACATTCCCTTTACGGATGCAATCAGCTAGAAAAAAAAGTCTTTTCAGTTCTGATTTTTGTTCTATTGTTATTCTGTAAACTATGTTATACAGAAAATTCTCCATATGCTGTCTAATAAAGCTAGGTAAATGTCTAGCTGGTCTCGTAGAATCGTGTTCGTCTTGCTTCCGGGAGATCGTTTGTTCGATCCATAGCCAGGTGAAACCTATGACTTAAAGATATTATTTACTGATACGACTTGTCGGAGTTGGTCGGCTCAGAGTTAGAAAAATGTATCCAATTAGGTGTCATCTTCCTGGTGAGCATCTCCTTGTAAATTAGCATTGTCAGAAATCGCCTCGATTTAGTTCTTACATAACATGTTATCGTCCTAATATGCATGCAATAGTTGCCGCTACACGTTAAACACAAATCTATCATCATCAGATTAATGGACAATTTTTCAGTTGAGCATTTTCATGTTAGTTTAAAATTCTAATATATCTAATAAGTCAAATACATCAAAAGAAATTTTAACACTTCATAAATTCAAAAGGTTATAATGTATTCAACCCTCGATGATACCACTTAAGATAAATGACTTGATAAATATTTGAATTTGTCACTTTATCAAGTTGTTGCTATTTAACAAAATACATATCACTTGAGATTTGAATTAGTTTTTTAAAGCTTTCATTGTAATCTGAATAGATCAAAGAACGATACGTGTCCACTGTTCATTTGTTATTTTTCAAAGTAAAATTGGAGCAATTCATCACTTTGGAAAATGCGAATGATGTATAGCTGTTTAAAACATGCGTAGAATATTGATTTGTAAGTGTCCGACACCTATTTATAGGGCATACATACACTAACAATCATATCATCTATATATTTATAAAGATATTTTATAATTAAAAGTCCGATACTCAATGCTTTTCATGACGTTACACATACATTTCTCAACCGCCTCGGTGTCTCGTGGTAGCGTGTTCGCCTCGAGTGTGGGAGGTCGTGGGTTCGAACCCCGGCCGGGTCAAACCAAAGACTTTAAAATGGTATTTGCTGCTTCTCCGCCAAGCACTCGGTATTTAGGAGCAAGAGCAAAGACTGGTCGGCTCGGAGTCAGAATGATATGTCCGAGTAAGGTGTTATGTCTTCCTGTGGAATGTTACCTTGTGAACTAGCACGTTAAAAATCCGGCTCAGCGTGTCGTTCTAGTACAAAGCAGGGTTAATATTCATATTATATTAACATGTTATCGTCCTGAATATGCATATTTATTTGTCGCTGGCTGTAGCAGCCATCCATCATCATCATCATCACATACATTTGATACTGAAACGACCCTTTTGAGGTCTGGTCGTCTAATCGTCAGTTAGTTAGAAATTGATAAGAACGTCTTCTGTGTTCTATGTTTCAGGTATTCCATTATCAGGTATTTTCAAGTAAAGATAAAACAGTGTTTTACAAAACATAAAAAAAATATAAAATGTCTGCAACTGTACGTAACTCAGCAATCAATAAATCGAATTAAAACCCATCAAGTATGTACGGCTTATAATTTTGTTCACAGACATGCTTTTTGTCTACGTGAGACTGTTCATTAAAGCTTGAATCATAACATTTAGATAGGCAAATAAATTTATATGTTTTGGAGTTTAGTATGACGTCCATTTTCACTGAACTAGTACACATTTTTGTTTGGGGGCCAGCTGAAGTCCGCCTTCGGGTGTGTTGAAGACCCATTGGTGGCTTCGGCTGTTTTTTTACTCTTTGGTCAGGTTGTTGTCTCTTTGAAATTCCCCATTTCCATTCTCAATTTTAAATAAAATACGAAATTGAAGATCATTAATAACCTACAACTCCGATACGTTGTTCAAAATACGGCGCAGGCATTCAATGAAATGATACAGTATGTTGCCCAAAGTAAACACCTTTGTTTGAAAATGAAAGTTTAAGAAAGGATATTTATTTGCGTCATCGTTTTAAATGAAAAGCCTGTGATATGAAGCAATAGTTGTTAGTTTTTAATGAACGAAATTTGAATTTTTAGCAGCATGTTTTTTTCTTTTTAACTAAAACCAAAACTCAGTTTCGAACGGGATAGGTAAATGCACGTATACCACACGGCTTTGTTTAGATGATGAAGGTCAATTTTTGAAACTTTATGAAATGTTGGTATGTATATATAGACGATATCATGGCTCCGTCTACACAGAACACAGAGTAAATTTTTTCACATTCAACGAGATATAGGTGGGACTTGAAAGAAATACCCAAAACAACAAATGTATCATTACAGCATTGGGGAGTCGCAGTTTTCAGTCGTTGATTCTTAATCGAAAATATCAAACAACGTCCATTTCACATCTGTTGACGTATTTTGGTGTAGTTCGTTCTATTCAGAATTTTTCACTTGACAATTATTTCAACGATTGTATGTTTTTGGTCGCTGAACAACAAATTGCAAATACTTTATGCATACAAAGAAGAGTAAGTTAGTAGTTCGATCTGCAGAAATGGGAGAAAAAGTTATACTGCCGTTGAAAAGAATAGTTAGGTAAGAATGAACAGAACATATTGCAAACGATATATTAAATGAGTATGGTAATGGCTTCACTAACGTAAAATTATATTTTTCACGACGTCAAACTGTGACATTTTGGGAAAAGAATCATTTCTCGACTGATTTTAATCCTTAGCTTAAAAACAAGTACATAGACCCCTCTTTTTTCTAAATGACAATTAGCATGACTTTGTATAAAGAGCATGTGTACCAAATTTGTAAACAAATCAAAGATGAATTTTCCAAATGTTTTTACAAATATTCACTTGTGTTCATCTTTTGAAACAAATAAGTTAGGTATGCTTGTTCACAGGATAGAAATGTCAAATAAACCGAAATTTAAATAAATGTCTAACCTCCGAGCCTTTGAATGTCTAAAAGTAGCGCTTAGAAGTACAGTTTTATTACATAGTTGAATTCACAAAGTGACAAATAGTTTGTATGCAAATTTTCGTAAGAAAACCGACCTGAGGATCAAAACTGTATCGTATGACCTTAAAATAGTTTTCGGAATTGTTTGACATGAAGAAAGCGTTGTACTCTTCTAAAATGAACACATCTCTTTATTTGTTTATAAACCCGCTGGATAAAGTCCTCATTTGGAGGCATTTATACACCCCGAAGACGTAATGTATACTTTCTTGATATTTGTAATTGAATGACTTTGTTATAATGAAATGCCATTATTTATTATTTCATTAAAACGACGAGGTAGGACAGTTCTGTATTCGCCTTTATTGTAAGTAACTTATAACGAGAGGAACAGTTAGATTTTAATTAACAAAAATACATTTACTGCATTTTATTTACACAACATGAATTTACTTACTGCATTATATTTGCAAAGCATGATTTCCACTCTGCGGGTCATGTTAGTAGTTGGTAATTTATAAGTCAAGAAGTCAGCATCACAATACACTGCCAATTCGATTGTGAAGTCATTAGAAGGCACCGACCGTTTTTGTTTTCTTTTATGATTATATTCAGTTTGGTTTATATCTGAAATAGTATGAACAATTCACAGAACGCATGAAACATACTTTGGTGAACGACAAGATATGCTTGCTTAGTAGATACAAGTTTATTCAAGTTCCATGGTTACTTGATATTACATTTATAAAATTTAAATTCGTCCTCACCATTAGATTATTCTTATCTAAACTTTCGTATGTTTTTTTCTGATTGCTGCTTATAAAAACAACTTCCTTATTAATAAAGTGAAGTAATATTATTATAAATTTATATGAAATACAATTTTGAAACAAATATCTTGAACAGAAAATCAATGCTTACCATTCTTTTGTCTTAAATCTGAGAACATTAAATCTTCTCTTCGTTTTCTTGCTATCACTGTTGTATGTTGTTTACTACTTAACGTACTCCGTTTTCGAATATGATGTGGCAGTACTTCAAAGTGAAGTTCATGGTGGCTAGTTGACATCATTCCACGCTAAATTGATAAATTGTATTTTTACTTTACGTACATATGCAACAGAGAAGATTAAGATGATAGTAGATAAATGGTTTGCATATCACATTTTACAATGTCACGCAGGTAACTCAAAAGTAATTGAAAGTACACATTTAAATAGCATCATTCCAGTACTTTAATTGTTATTACTCGTTGGATGGTATCTACGGTAATCAGGAGCTGCTACGACACCGTTGTATTAATCAAGAACGAGTGATACCATTCGCAATATATTTGTCACGTGTTGATGGAAAGAATGTCACGAATTGCACTGGAATCCAAAGCATTCATAAATACTTAGCCTTTGTTTTGTCATATAGCTCTTCAGCTGTTTTTGGTTCTTATACATCCTTGGCTTTCAAGCATTCGGCATTGATCGTTCCTGATAAATCCAAAAAGCGATCCGGACGCATGAAATTTATAACGTGTTGTTTACATTTTGTATATGAAAACGGATTACACTGCCACATTAATGTGTATCATAAGACAAAATCGGGACAAAATTTATAAACCGCCTTTCATTCTAACCTTTAACAGTATCGATATTTGTATATTTTTCGCAACGATGAAATAAAATAGTTACATACAATTTGTTTTGAAAAAAAGGAACTCTATTAAAATACATGTACAATGATTTCCAAATTCTAAAAGTAAATGTTATTTTTACTTGTAATTATATTTTCAAGTTCACATATTCCCTTCTGTGTTAAATATTTGCCAATTACTATATAACAATTTCATACCAATTCTTCGCAAAATGATGCAGAGACAGTTCCGTCATGGGAATGGACATTTCCAATCAGAAAACAATCCGGATGGTCTCCATTCCATTCCGTTTCTTCTTCATCAGCATCAGTTATTATGGAAACCTTAGCTGACGGATGAAGTACTGACTTGGTATGTTGAAGAGTCATTTTGTAGGATTCCCCAAATGCAGATATTTCAATATCATACGATTCTGTAGAGTCTACAGACCGTCTTCGTCGATGGATTGAGGAAGCATCTAGGCTGCAATCAGAATTACTCTATTATGTATCGAATAGTTTATGCCTGTCTTTGACAACGGCCTATGAAAAAGTGTAAGATGGTTTCTAATAATTTCACAATCTTGGTGGATTATGTATCATACTTTCAGTAACTGCAAGCCTTGTTTGATACTATTTCACTAGTATTGTTCTACTTGAACTTGTATTGTTGTCGAATACAAGTCTTCTATTTTATAATAGTTTTGTGTCGCACGTACTATATAACTTTTGTTATTCCAATGATCCAAAAAACAAAATGAGACTAATGAAAAACTAGCTTCGTCATACATATATTAATGCGCTTGTCCAAGTCAAAAACCTTATATGAAGTTGCCTTGTTATATGGTTTATTGTATTGTTCAATTTTGATATGAAGAACTGCAATATAAGCGCTTCTCCTTTGATTTGTGTGTTATCAAGTTTTAATGAGTGCTCAATTTAATGAATTCATACACAAACTCCCTTCTTTCCCAATTGCTTTATTTATTTTTACCATATTGAAACTTAGTTTGACAGACGGTATAAAAACTTGTATGTTGTTGTTGTTGACCTTGACGTAAGCTGTAGACACTTGTCTGTTGTTGTTAACCTTGAAGTATGTTAAAGAAACTTGTCTGTTGTCGTTGACCTTTACATATGACATAGACACTTGTCTGTTGTTTACATATGGTATGGTCATTTGTCTGTTTTTCTTGACCATGATATATTGCATAGACACTTGTCTGTTGTTGTTGACCTTGATAATTGCTTAGACATTTGTCTGATGTTGTTGACCATGACATACAATATAGACATTTCTCCGATGTTGTTGACCTTTACATATGGCATAGCCACTTGTCTGATGTTGATTACCTTGACATATGATGTAGACACTTTTCTGTTGTTGTTGACCTTGACATATGGTATGTTGTCAGGTCATTAAAGATTGCATATTTTGGCGTTAATATTGATTCACTTATAGGGTCTTTGCATCGGCACTAAACACATTTATTTAAAAACCAGTTGTTGGCATGACACGGGTTATGTTCTTTTCATATATGTTATGATGGTATGATACTAAACCCCTAACGGGAAGGATTGTGCCTGATATTCATATGATGAAGACATAATCTTTCAATCAGTTTAATTGAAGTCTGGAGCTGGCATGTCAGTTAACTGCTAGTAGTCTGTTGTTATTTATGTATTATTGTCATTTTGTTTATTTTCTTTGGTTACATCTTCTGACATCAGACTCGGACTTCTCTTGAACTGAATTTTAATGTGCGTATTGTTATGCGTTTACTTTTCTACATTGGCTAGAGGTATAGGGGGAGGGTTGAGATCTCATAAACATGTTTAACCCCGCCGCATTTTTGCGCCTGTCCCAAGTCAGGAGCCTCTAGCCTTTGTTAGTCTTGTATTATTTTTAATTTTAGTTTCTTGTGTACAATTTGGAGTTTAGTATGGCGTTCATTATCACTGAACTAGTATATATATTTGTTTAGGGGCCAGCTGAAGGACGCCTCCGGGTGCGGGAATTTCTCGCTGCATTGAAGACCTGTTGTTAACCTTCTGCTGTTGTCTGTTCTATGGTCGGGTTGTTGTCTCTTTGACACATTCCCCATTTCCATTCTCAATTTTATAGTCACTAGTCTGTTGTTGTTGACCTTGACATATGGTATTGTTACTTGTCTGATGTTGTTGACCTTGCCATATGGTATAAACACTAGTCTCATGTTGGAGACCTGAACATATGTTATAGAAACTTCTGTTGTTGCTGATCTTGACATATGGAAAAGACACGTGTTTGTTGTTGTTGACCTTTTTCCTTTATATGTCATTTATAGTTGCATAGTGGTGTGTCATCATTGTTACGTATTCTTTTTTCAGCTAGATCAACCCTAGCTTTGTTTAAAGGGATTCGATTTCCTGTTGCGTCAATTTTCAGTGTTGCACTATGTGATTTGCTTATTTTGAAATGTCTCTATGTGCTCGTCCCAAGTCAGGAGTCTTGAATTGAGTGGTTGTCATTAGTTGCTGTCTGTTAAATTTGTCTTTAATTTGTGTGTTTTGATTTTTTTTTTGTTTGTCAAGAAAATCAAACCGTTGGTTCTCTCGTTTAAATTGTTTTACAATTTGTTATGTCGAAGCCTTTTAAAAAGCTGACTATACGGTATCGGTTATGCTCATGGAGGTCTTATTGTGACATTTAGTTGCTAACAGGCTTACAAAATAGTAGTACTAACTTGGGCTTTGTAGTGTATAATTGTTTGTTGTTTGCTTAACATTGGAAAATGATAAACAACAAAATAATGTTTTGATAAAGATAATATAAAAAGAAAAAGATGTTGCATGATAGCTAATGAGACAACTTTCCATCAGATAACCAATGTCGTAGAAGTTTGCATCTTTAGGTCACTGTGCAGTTAGTTTGAAATGTTAAACAAAAATAAAACGATATTACCTTTGTTGATGTGAACGTGTAACCTCTTGGACTGATGTCAACTCAAACTCATTGAACCCATCTAAAAGTATTGGGAACAGATTTACAAATACAAAATATATGTTTGAAAGTTTTATTTAAGAAACCTGTCGATGCAAATGTTATTTATAAAAAAAAGCATGCCTTTTTTTTTTTCGCTAATCTATTTCTTTTGTTTGTAATGTACAAGATAGCAATTAGAACTTCATTGATTAACATGACATTTTTAGACCTACACTACCTTAGTATCAGCCGATTTGGATGATAACAATCAAGTTACATACGTTCTGGATAGAGCACATTTGATTGATTTTTTGCAAAACATATGTAATTAATTTTAAAGTAATATATATATATTCATAAGTTAGTTAGATTTCAAACTGATGACAAAAATTCCGAAACATGCACTTAATACATTAGGAATTCCAGGCGACATGACCAAAAGGAATAAAGAAAAGTTTTGATCGACGTAACCAGCAAAGCTGTTTATCGAACAACAAAATAGCGTAAATATATTTAATTGAATAATTGATACAGGATGACGTATCCTCGTCTGGTACGCATGAGGCAAAAATTCTATCAATGTGTATAATGATGGCCTATTGCACTTTTAGGAAATGGAAGCCGCATTTCTGTTCCTATTTTCGCAAAAAAATGGATTTTTTCCAATACTCATATTCTAAAACATGTTGTAGAACTTTCGAATCAACACTATGTGTGACGTAAATTTCCACAACTCCCACTGAAAGAATTTTTGTTACCTTCACCCAGCTTTCTGGAGTTGATGAATTCATTTAAGTGACTATCTTCAAACAATGATTTTGCCTGCAATTAAAAAGAAAGTTTTGCCTTAAACACGCAATTTATAATTCACATGACCATTACCAGTATAGTTTTTTATCGTTCAATTAGCCAGCTATTGCACAACTGAAATGTACAGATATACAAATATTTATGTGTATTTCCTGTAATTCTGCTTCTATGTTAACGTCACAGCTCATGTTAGGGTATTCATTGAGGACCGCGCTTAAGCCATGTCGATACCAATAGAAATCAAACACAATATTAGGAAATAAAAAACTATACCGTAAATAGCCAATGTAAGATAACATAATTGCACGGTATATTTAATAACATTTATAAGCAAATATTAAATAAATTTGTGCCCACAACGAAGCAGAGAAAATCTTGGCAGTCTAGACTCATAAAAATATTTAAAAAAAACTAAATTTCCGTCAATTTACATACACATTTTGTATTTAATATAGTCTATTGCATCAGGAGATGATCTAATCTAACTAGATAAACACGGTAGAGTATTCTCTAATAATCAGACATAGCACTTAAACAAAATTTAGCAAACAAAGAAAAAGGTTTATATTATCTAAGCTCTATAAGACTAGGTTTGTTGAAAATTGTTTTATAGGTTAAATTGCATTTAAATGAGATTTAGATTAAGTGTATATTACAATAACATGTAAACTTTAGCATTCAGTAGCTATTTTTGTATTCAAAGTTCTCTAAATTGGCATACAGTTGAGAACAAAGCATCTTTTTAAACCAAAAAATATGATAAACGATTTGTTATACAAAAGAAGTGAGTTAAAGACTGAAATCCTTCTTTGTATGCTTTGACATATCTTTTATTTTAGTATTTAAAAAGTAATACCGTTTGCACTGCATATATGGGAACATATTAAAGTATAAATCTTCTTATATAAACAACGTGAGATAGATACAATATATATATATACAACGTAAGATTACGGTTAAATATTTGAACAATCTTTTTAACAATCTATTAATGGCATATCCCGTACACAATTAAATACAGTTGATCGAACTAAATTTACAAAATATTTTGCATTTGAGTTGTTTTAGAATTCAGAGTGAAGTGAAAGAGTTTATTAAATGCAAAACAACCGTTAGATATAAAAGAAATAACTACTATCTGATGATTACTAAGGATGAACAAATTTCAAATATCTGTAGTGTAATGGTTTGTATGTAACACTTGGATTATAAACCAGCTAGGTTCCACACGTAGCAAACGAGCACGATAAACATACTGAACAAAACGACGACAAATATACAAAACCCCAAATTTGTATCAGAACAAGCATATTCTAATATTCTTTGATTAAAAGAAGGTAATTATGGTACAAAAATATTTGTGCTAGTTTGATAAGATTTACGTCACACGCTGTTGATACTTGTTAAAGGCACTATGGAAGTCTCGAGGTAAACAATAGACAAGGGTCTGTTCCCAATGTCAAGCTTTTAATCGAACCGAGTACAGAAAAGTTGCGAATAAAATTCAGAGACTACCAAATTTAGAAGCTCTAAAGAGCATATGTCGCATTACTAGGTCTATATCTTCATTACTCGACACTATCCAACAGTTTAGACTGGGATATTAAACATTACAAAAATCTAGTCTTTGGATGCACCTGTATTACTGATTATTATTTTTATTTTTATAGTCTCTTTCTATTTTGAACAGTGTTTGCCCAAAACATAAAAAATGTTAAAAACGTCATTTAATGGCAATAACTCCTATAGGAAGACAACTGACAAATTAATTTACATTTTAGCTGGCATTTTTGCAGTTCTTGTCTTGCTGATAATTTTTGCTTTGAAGATTGTATCTTTCTATATTAGTTTTCAAGAAAACAAGCAGATTTTGAAAAAAGGTAAAAATCGTCAATGGGTAATCAAGACGTAGAACAGCTACATAAAAAAAGTAAAATAACAAAAAAACCGCACTCCAAGGAAAATACAAAACGGAAAGTCCTTTATCAAATGGCAAAATCAAAAGCTCAAGCACATCAAGTTCCTTTATCAAATGGCAAAATCAAAAGCTCATACACATCAAACGAATAGAAAACAACTGTCATAAATCAATGGAGATGCATAGAAATACAGACAGTTGTTTTTATTATAAAAATATGGATATGTTGTATAATCGCCAACTATCCACCAGAGATCAAAGAACGTGGATTAAATCAAGTATTGGTCGCCGCACACGGGTTTTAACAACGAGCAAAATCAATACCGTATAGTGAGCTATAACAGAACTCGGCATTACTCAATGTAAAGCGATTCAAAAGAGGAAACCAAAGTACTGAGTTTATACATATTTCTTTGCCTTTGCTCAATTTTCCGTTAATATCTTTTAATCTAGAGTTTTATTTGTGAAGGAGAAAATTGCAAACTTATCTAAGTCTATTTTGAATCCATAAAATTAATATTCAGGAAAATTAAATTGAAATCTCTGACGAAGAATTTCTTATATATTATTTACATTTTAAATATTACTAATGTCCCGTTTACCATTGTATGGAAACATCATAAAGCTCTTCGCCTACATTACTGATTATTAACAAAATATTAAATGTAAACGTGACAAAATAAAAACATTTTTACAAAATATTGGATACATGTGCATTCTTCCGAAAACTGCATCTGCAATTATTTCTGTAATCGATGTTTCTATACTCATAATTAAATATTTACCAAGGGTTGTAAAAGGTAAAGTTAAAATTCCCCCTTGAAAACATGTACAGACATTATTATGATTTGGTTAACTGGTTTGGAATATCTGTATCACAGAGAGCAATGCATATGGTCCAATAGTTGTAGTCACAATTCGGATTCCTTTTCCTCATAATTTCATATAATGAATGACTATATTTCTCATACAACTAGTAATATAGTTATAGAGAACATATCTAAACATAACAGTAAGATACAATTATTACATGAATGTGTGAACAAGACAAGGAAATTAAGAGGACTAACTTGTGCATTTATAATTTCAAAACATTTATATAATCTTTTCTATAATCACAATATTTGTAGAGTTTAATAGTGGACCAAACATGTAGATATTAGGGTTTTCTCGACAAACACTGTCACCTTCTAGAATCAATCGACAGATGATGACTATCTGATCTATATTTGCACAATGTATAAATGAAATAACTGGTTAAAAAGTATTTTTTCAAATTTTAAATTATTTTTGCGTCTTTCCCAAGTCAGGAGCCTCTGGCATTTTTTAAATTTTGGTTCATTTATATGTTTCGGAGTTTAGTGTGACGTCCATTTTCGCTGAACTAGTAATTAAGTTTATCGACAGATTGTAGGTATTCCTATGGGTACCAGTTGTGTCCCTTTAATAGCAGACTTGTTCCTGTACTGTTATGAATCACAGTTTATGGCCAAACTCAGCAAAGACCCGTCAAATTCCATTTAATAGATAAATTCAACAACACTTACCGTTATCGTGATGATATTTTTTCGTTAAATAATCAAGAATTCTCCTGCCGAAATTTTTGATTTCAATGAGCGAAATCTATGTATTACTGGTAAGTTATTAAGTCAGGGATTTCGTTACCACAAATTACTTAAAACCTTAACTAAATTCTTCCATAGATACAAATATTTGGTTTGTTTGCAAGTTTGGATGTACCTGTATTTCAAACGGAATAGCACATCCTAAATTTTACGGTGATGTAGTTAACCGAGCCCGGAAATTTATGTACGATCCGGATAAACTTATCAATCCTTTAAATAAACTTATTCTAAAACATTACCTATTCAACACTGTAATTAAATCTTTGAATATTGTTTTTATTGGTATAAATATTGATATTGGTATCAGTAAATTAAAACCATACTAAATATTACACTTATGTACCTTCACGGTATTACAATCTGTCGATACCTATATTTTGGCATTGCACAAGGTCATGTTTTTCTCTGACTGTTAATGGCGTTTTTACACTAAATCCGTTGGATGTCGGATGTGTACTGATTGATATTTTAGTCTTAGATACATGATTTTTTTATAAGTTGTTATTATCTTTGAAAAAGCTGCCAGTAACTCTCAGATCTGTGTCTTTTTTTATTGTTAGGGATGAGGGATGGATAAATACCCTGCAACGTCCTGTCTCTTTTTTTTGTTTAATGTTTGTTTTGGTATAGATCTGATGAAATAAGTCTTTTTCAACTGATTTTTATAGTGTGTTCTTATGTTGTGCTGTCACAGATTAGGGGAAGGATTGAGCGGTCACAAACATGTTTAATCCCGCCACATTCTTCATGTACCTGTCCCAAGGCAGGAGCCTGTGGTTCAGTAGTTATCGTTAGTTCACGTCTCTCATATTTGTTTTTCGTAAATTGTTTTGTTATAAACTAGGCCGTAACTTTTCTCAATTGAATTGTTTCATATTTTTCATGTCGGGGTATTTTATAGCCGTCTATATTTTATCTCATTATTGAAGGCCGTACGGTTGCTTATAATTGCTGACATACACTTTATTTGATCTTTCGTGGATACTTGTCTCATTGGCAATCATACCACTTCCCCTTAATTTTATATAGTACACATTTTTTAAGGGCCAGCTGAAGCCCGCCTCCGGGTGCGGGATTTTCTTGCTGTGTTGAAGACCCATTGGTAGCCTTGGACTATTTTCTGCTCTTTGATCCGCGGGTTGTTGTGTCTTTGACACATTCCCCGTTTCCATTCTCAATTTTAACTCGTAAAAATTTAGGATCACAGATGTTCATCCCTAGTTGGTTTTTTTTGCAAAACTAATAAATGATGTCAGGATTATACCTTAGTACGCTAGACATACGTTTCGGCTGCACAAAACTAGTCAATGGAGCTCGAATTCAACAGCGAAGTTGTTAAACATTTAAAACATAAATATCAAAACATCCGACAATTTTCTTCAATGCATAGAGAGAAAAAATGTTTCGAAAAATTTAAACAGTAAATTAAACGAAATTATCGCATTAATTATATGTCATTTCAGCACCGA